AATGTCCCTTTTTTTTGGACCTGTCAAGAAAGAGCATTCCAAACCAAAAGAAAAGAATTTTTGTCCAAATTTTTAAATTTCCCGATTTTTTCTAAGCACTTTCTATCTGACAACTTGATGCTAGTTCAATTGGCATAGGTGCCGTATCTAGTCGAAGACCCCCCCGATGGCATGTACAACGACAGTTGCATTGCTTGCCCGAAGTCCTTACGAAGGCTGAACGTAAATTATACAGTAAATTGAGCAAGAAGCTTTAGCAATAGTATGTATTTAAAGCACTTCCGAGACATTAGTTATCAGTACTCTGTTTCTTGTCTTGAAAGATCATGCTCCACTGATTCCCTTATTCCAGAACAAAAACTCTACTGGAAGGGTTAGATTGATGGACCTTGACTATCCAAGAGTTCAATCCCACCTTTGAGCATTTTACCTGGCAAGTCAAATGTAGTCGCAGATGCCTTATCTCGACTGTTAGTAATAGTAACTGCAGACCTCATTAGTGCGAAGATGTAAAGATTGCTCACCGACAGATTTCCATGTGGTTGGTGTGATACGATTCCTGTCAGAAGATCTTATCTGACTGTGAAGCACCAGCTCCCCATCAGTGACTTTCTCATGAACAAGATTACTGTTTCGAACAGCCCGAGTCGAGTGGGTCACTCCTAGCAGAAAAGAGTATACAGTTAGTAATTCACAAGTCACTAGTGAATGTAAGCCTTACAGCTAGTTCACGATGTGCCAGGTGTTGCAACACCCTGGTATGGATCGTTCAGAAAAACAAGCCAGATTGAAATACTTTTGTGGCTCGAATGGCAACTGATAATTCTGAGTATGTTAGGAAAATGTAGTGTCTGCATGCAAATAAGGCAATGCTAATGGTCTAATCCAATCCAAGTGTATACAACTACTAGCGAACCTGGGAAAAGAGTTGCGCTAGATTTGTTTAACTAATTTTCCAATGTTCACTCCAAGGCAACAAACATCTGAATGTGTTAGGTGACCATTTCACCAGATATTGCGAGGTTAGTTCCTAATGCAGATATGACTGCCGAGACAGTAGCTAAAGCGTTTAAAGAAACGCATTATCTGCAGGCATACCACTCCTAAGTCCCCTAGTAACAGATATACTGAGGTGAATTCTGTAATGAATTCTTGAAAATTTGTGTACCTTGTACAAGAATCACTAAATCCACCATTGTTCCTCATCATCCTGACAGCAATGGGTTAGCGGAACGAAACCAATAGAAAGTACTTGATGTATTGAGAGCCACTATCAATCCAATAGTGAAACTTGTGATGAAGTTATACCTGATGTGCAGTGTGCTATAAATTTGCTTACAATGTTTCTATAGGTGAACACTACAAATTAAGCATTGTACGGTGTAGAAATAAAAAGTTTAGCCTTAGGAGTTGTTATAATCTATCCGAAAACCAAATTACAACCTGATGATTTCGTAGCACTCGTACCAGCTTAGTTCCCCCCCCGTGATATAGAAGAATCCGTTGAAACACTCAAAATCAAAAGCAGAATTTACAAGAGTCGCAAATACTCGAGTAAAGCATCAAAATCAAAGTAGGTTCGTGAGTTATGCTGACTAATTTTAACAAAACGTCTGCAATGCCAAAGCTTGATCCAAAAGTGTTGGTCCTTTAGCGTAGTTGATCATATACTGGTTAATAAGTATAAGGTTAGTGTAGTTTGTACTGGTCAGTATAAAGAATCGCATTTGGATCATATGAAGTTAGTATGTGATGATAATGATGTTCCAACCCAGACTAATGTGACAGACTCTGACAATCCTCCTGATCCTGTACTCTCTTCCTCTGATACTCAGTCAGATGATCAACCTGAATGTCGTTATTCCCTACGTACACGACAGGTATTGAGAAATCCTCAAGTATCATTTGTAACTTCCAATTCAGATTTGCCTCAAATGCAGCATGAGTTAGCCAATGCTACAGAGTTTGATCCTCCCAGAGATGACACCCATTCTGCATATGCCAATCTTACCCTAGCAGAGTTGGGGTTAAATGTAAATAACCTGTATAGATGAATAATTACAGTATCAACTTATCAGTATTCAAGAATTTTTTTTTTGTGTTCATGTTCTCTCCACATTCTGAGAGTTAACAGTCTAGATTTGCGTGCACCGAATCTGCCTTTCTGTTAAACACTCTTTCTTTGTATATATTCCTTCCTCAGAATCCGTAGATCACACGAATACAGATCGATCGATCAAAATTTTTGTTTTTATCACTTGTAATCTCAATGTTGAGTTCGTTGTTCATTTGTTGAGTTTTAAGTTGTACTATAGTATACCTTGTATTACATTACAGTTTCAGTTACGTAAGCTTTCATTCCAATGTTCTAATTATATATATAATGTTTCATGTTGTGTACTTTGACATTGTATAGAATCAGCCCAAGCCGTATACCTGCCATCTCTAGTTTGTATTAGTTGTATGTCGGGACGACATACGTTAGCGTCGCCGAGCTCTCAGTAGTAGTAACCAGTTACCAGTAACCAGTTACCAGTAACCTGTCCGTTGACTCAACGACCAACCGTCTTGAGTCACGGTCTGTGCTGAGCTGACACTATTTTCAAAAGACCCACTACGGGGTACTGGCCAGCCGGCTAGTCAGTTTTACGAGTGTAGCCAAGGAGATAGGTAATCGGCTGCGGGCTCTCTCCACATATCTACAATTATACGTATAACAGCCTACGTGAGTATTTCTACCCTAATCCACGTATCGAACTCCCACATGATACTATGACTAAAGAAATACTAACATCTCTGACTCATCTGAGTCTTCAACTTCCAATTCTGACCCCTTGTTTCTGTGTCCCATTCTCGAACATGCTGTTTCTGTCCACCTTACCTATTCCTCTCAGTATATTTGTATGTCGTTATCATGTCTCCCCTAACCCTCCTGTCCTCCAGTGTCCGGCGATTTCCCTTAATCTTTCTTTATATGACATTCCCCTTAGCTCTGGAACTAGCCTTGTTGCAAACCTTTGCACTTTCTCTAATTTCTTGACGTGCTTGACCAAGTGTGGGTTCCAAACTGGTGCTGCATACTCCAGTATGGGCCTGACGTACACGGTGTACAGAGTCTTGAACTATTTCTTACTGAACGCTATTCTCAGGTTTGCCAGGCGCCCATATGCTGCAGCAGTTATCTGGTTGATGTGTGCTTCAGGAGATGTGCTCGGTATTATACTCATCCCTAGATCTTTTTCCTTGAGTGAGGTTTGCAGTCTTTGGCCACCTAGCCTATACTCTGTCTGCGGTCTTCTTTGCCCTTCCCCAATCTTCATGACTTTGCATTTGGCAGGGTTAAATTCGAGGAGCCAGTTGCCGGACCACACGTCCAGCCTGTGCAGGTCTCTCTGTAGTCTTGCCTGATCCTCATCTTGAGTCAATTCTCGTCATTAACTTCACATCATCTGCGAACAGGGACACTTCTGAGTCTATCCCTTCCATTATGTCATTCACATACACCAAAAATAGCACTGGTCCTAGGACTGACCCCTGTGGAACCCCGCTCGTCATAGGCGCCCACTGTGATACCTCATCACGTACCATGACTCGTTGTTGCCTCCCTGTCAGGTATTCTCTGATCCATTGCAGTGCCCTTCCTGTTATACGCGCCTGATCCTCTAGCTTTTGCACTAATCTCTTGTGAGGAACTGTGTCGAAGACCTTCTTACAGTCCAAAAAAATGCAATCTACCCACCCCTCTCTCTCGTGTCTTACTTCCGTTACCTTGTCATAAAACTCCAGGATTTGCCTTCCATGAATCCATGCTGGTTGTCGTTTATAAGCTGGTTCCATTCTAGGTGCTCCACCATTCTCCTCCTGGTAATCTTCTCCATGACTTTGCATACTGTACACGTCAGTGACACTGGTCTATAGTTTAGCGCCTCGTTTCTGTCTCCTTTCTTAAAAATGAGGACTACATTTGCCATCTTCCATACCTCAGGTAGCTGCCCAGTTTCAATGGATGTGTTGAAAATTGGGGCTGTTAGTGGCACACACACAGCATCTCAGCTCCCTCTCTAAGGACCCACAGAGATGTTGTCTGGTCCCACTTCCTTTGAGGTATCAAGGTCACCTAGCTTCTTCATCTCCTCCTCGGTTGTATTTCGTCCAACATTTGTTGGTATATTCATTGTTGTACTCCTCTGTTCTGTCTTCCTAGAGTCCTTTCTGTGTGTGTGTGTGTGTGTGTGTGTGTGTGTGTGTGTGTGTGTGTGTGTGTGTGTGTGTGTGTGTGTGTTAGTTACCATTTTGTCCTAGTGTGTGTGTGTGTGTGTGTGTGTGTGTGTGTGTGTGTGTGTGTGTGTGTGTGTGTGTGTGTGTGTGTGTGTGTGTGTGTGTGTATGTGTGTGTGACCAAATTAATGTCTGTATAAATAACTCATTACGACTGACTGGATATAAACACAGTTCATTACCACTAACTTATTAGGCTATCAAAACTTTGCGGCCCAGGCCCTGGACCCATTATGACTCACGAAATCGTAATGACACGACTGCAAACATTATGACCTCTGTAATCCTTTGACTACCGCCCACAGGATGGGTATGAGGGGTCATAATAAAGATGGTAAACTACTACTACCACTACTATTACTGCAACTATTACTACTACCATTACTTCTAATATGCGATGTTTGTATTTTTATATTACACTTCATGTTATGAAATAGTTTATTAACTACTGCTGCTACTATTACTGTTGCTGCTGCAACTACGAATACTACCACGACTACTTCTATTATTACCACCACTACTACTACTACTGCTGCTATCACTATTACTACTACCACCTCTACCTCAGTTGAGTTACTTACCTATTTTAAGTTTTAAGGTTTAAAAGATATTACAAGGACCCCAATGGAAATAAGTCACCTTGTCTGATTTTTGGGGGGACTATCTTAAAGTAATTTACAATATGTATGATTATTGTGCTTATATGTACCTGTGCCTAAATAAACCTACTTACCTCTATAACTGCCGCCATTACAATTACCATTATACTCACCGAAGACGGAATACAAGGTGACCATCAGGAAGAGTATGAAGTTAGTCAGGAGGACCTTGGCAAAGTTGCGGCAGCGAGCCTTGTTGCCGGGACCTTGGAAGTTGCTCGTCATGTGTCTCAACTCTGACGTCACATTGTTAACTCATTAGCAACTGCTCTTTTACAGAGTTATAGTAACTGTGAACCTCGTGTAATGTGGTGAAAATAACTTTACGGTGGTGGTGGTGATGGTAGGTGGTGCTTAGGAGTGTGGTGGTGGTGTTAGTAGTGATGGTGTTGGTGGTGGTGTTAGTAGTGATGGTGTTGGTAGTGTTGGTGGAGGTGTTAGTAGTGATGGTGTTGGTAGTGATGGTGGTGGTGTTAGTAGCGATGGTGTTGGTAGTGTGTTGGTGGTGTTAGTAGTGATGGTGTTGGTAGTGATGGTGGTGGTGTTAGTAGTGATGGTGTTGGTAGTGATGGTGGTGTTAATAGTGATGGTGTTGGTAGTGATGGTGGTGTTAGTAGTGATGGTGGTGTTAGTAGTGATGGTGTTGGTAGTGATGGTGGAGGTGTTAGTAGTGATGGTGTTGGTAGTGATGGTGGAGGTGTTAGTAGTGATGGTGTTGGTAGTGATGGTGGTGGTGTTAGTAGTGATGGTGTTGGTAGTGATGGTGGAGGTGTTAGTAGTGATGGTGTTGGTAGTGATGGTGGTGGTGTTAGTAGTGATGGTGTTGGTTTTGTTAGTAGTGATGGTGTTGGTAGTGATGGTGGAGGTGTTAGTAGCGATGGTGTTGGTAGTGATGGTGGTGGTGTTAGTAGTGATGGTGTTGGTAGTGATGGAGGTGTTAGTAGTGGTGGTGGAGGTGTTAGTAGTAATGGTGTTGGTACTGATGGTGGAGGTGTTAGTAGTGATGCTGGAGGTGTTAATAGTAATGGTGGAGGTGTTAGTAGTGATGGTGTTGGTGTTAGTAGTGATGGTGGTGGTGTTAGCAGGGATGACTGTGTAGTAGTGATGCTGGTGGTTCACGTATATGTAATAATATTTAGGGTAAAAAATGATCAGCTGTTGATATATTGAGTTAATCTTATGCATATTATATTATATAAATATTTTTAATTGTACGGTTACGTTGCGCTTTTAATACTGCTCAGAAAACACTTCGAAAGCTACAGAATTATGTATGTATGTATGTATATATATATATATATATATATATATATATATATATATATATATATATATATATATATATATATATATATATATATATATTGGTAGTGATGGTGTTAATATATATATATATATATATATATATATATATATATATATATATATATATATATATATATATATATATATATATATATATATATATATATATATATATATACCAGTTTTTTAGATCATTAGGTTATTTTTATGCAGGATGCCATTAATTAAGAGGACAAATAAAAAAATGTTGAAAATATTATTCATTGTTTAGTAAGTAAATTATGATACATACCTTAGGAAATTTTTTTTTACAATTAAAACATAAAGCAAACATATACATAAGCCTATTTATCAGTGTTTGGTCTGGTCAAGTGAACAACAATTTGTTGGGGTTCAAAAGTAAATTAGGTACCACATAGTGAGCCAAATAATTTTATAATTTACAGAGAAAATAGTTTGAAGTCCAAATATAAGAGGTTGTAATATAAACACGTGGAAGCTAGCCTATTGTGGTACATTTTGTCAACAACGTGTGTAGGATAAATTTTGTAATTAAAAAAGTGTATACGCCAATAATATGTTTAGATAATAAGGTGAAGGTTTTTGTAAGGTAAATCTGTGGATATGGTATTTACAGAAAATAGGTAAGGTAAAGATGAAGTTTTGCCTGTTAGGAAGGCAGAAGTTAAAGGTAAATGGCAGACCTACTGACTCCTGTAAATATCTAGGTTTTAAGAACACATGCCCAATGTGCCTCTCCGACCCATCACGTTCAGCATAGGAAGTACTACACATAATATCTCACAATATCTGTCCTCGCCCCTTAGCCCTATCTCATCCCCCACATACTTCAAACATTCAGGACACTTGTCATACTTTTCCGACATCAACATAAACATGGCCTCACGTGAGGTTACCTCCCACTTCGCGAACGTCTCACTTACACCACCAATATAGAGAATTAACAGTGACATCAATCTCTCACACACAAGGGTTTTATTGAACTGTTTGATCTTTATGTCAATTTTAACTGATTTAAATATGAAGACAGCTGTTTCCAACAATGCTTTCGTTTAACAATGGGGAATCCTCTCAGCGCCGTATTGGTAAACTCCTACAACATGCAGAATTTAGAAACTGAAAACTTCCGGTCCGTCGTCCCTAATACCATGACATGATTACAGTACGTGGATGACTTACTGGTACTGTACTTCAGGCGTTTCAACATACACAGATTTCTGGATCAGATCAAACCAGTGGTGCCCACCATGAAGATGAAGTGATGGGCAGTTCCCCTTCCTGGATGTCTTTCTCTGCTGCTCTCAGGACAGCGACCATCTCACCTTCAGAGTACACAGACAACCTACCAACAAGGAGGATCTGATACGCTACTACTACCCATATCATGATACTCGCGCAAAACAGAGTAGTGATAAGTTTTTTGCAGACTGCTTTTCAGTTGTATTTTCCTAGACGAGAAAAAATTTATCAAACCAGCCTTCTTCGTACAAGAGTACAGACGGAAAGCAAAGCTTAGTGAGCACCACCAAGAAGTATAGGTCCTCCCAAGAAGCAATTTAGCCAGCAATAAAACGAACACTGACTATAGTAATATCCACAGTTGCACCGTGGCTTCCACGTTCATCAAAGAACTCGGAAGAAATCCGTTCACATTTACTAACCTAGCACCGGTACAAATGTAGGTGTAACAGACGATTTTAGTAAGAACATAAGAACATAAGAACGAAGGAACACTGCAGAAGGCCTACTGGCCCATGCGAGGCAGGTCCAAGTCTCCTACCGGCTTAAGCCAATGCACCCAACCTAGTCAGGTCAGGTCACATTGACTTAAGGGAGGAACACGGCAACCGACCTGGTAGCACAAGCTATCAGGTCTAACTCACACCCACCCACATCCACTCATGTATTTATCCAACCTATTTTTAAAGCTACACAACGTTCTGGCCTCTATAACGGTACTTGGGAGTTTGTTCCACTCATCCACAACTCTATTACCAAACCAGTACTTTCCTATATCCTTCCTGAATCTGAATTTTTCCAACTTAAAACCATTGCTGCGAGTCCTGTCTAGGCTAGATATTTTCAGCACACTATTTACATCCCCTTTATTTATTCCTGTCTTCCATTTATACACCTCAATCATATCCCCCCTAATTCTACGTCTTTCTAGAGAGTGCAGATTCAGGGCCCTTAGTCTATCCTCATAGGGAAGGTTTCTGATACATGGGATAGATTTCTGATACTATGTACACAGACCATTAAATAGCTTAGATTAAAGTGCAAATAATCACCCCAGAACCAAATCTCTACAGATGCCATTGTTTGGAAGCTTCTCTTATTGGTATATAAAAAAATAGGCACACAAAAATGGATGTTATAGTATCGCCGCCACACATGATCATCATCAGCTGTGACTCGACCCCTACAACCATATATAGGTGAGTGAAGCAATGTTCTACCCACCACCCACCATGGAAGTTCGCTGGAAACCCACTATACTTCACTTACATTCAGGGGTTTCCCGATTATCTAAGTTTGTGGTTTCATACCATTATTTGTTGTTACGGCCAGTGACCCGTCCCAGTTGAGCTTTCTCGTCTTAGTCACACCCCTTTTAGTCTTGTTGGTATGATTATATACCCTCTAAGCCTTACTGTTTCCAGCTGAGGTATTTGTGAACGTGTGTGTGTGTGTTTTGTGAGTTTTTATGTGTTAAATAACTTTTAACTCTTCTATATGTCAGTGGCACTGAAAGTTGAACGTAAAGTCAGTCTTAGTGAAGTGTTATTCACACCCATTAACTAGCAATGAACTATTATTAATAGATGTAAGAAAGACGCTAGCTAAGACTAGCGTTTAAACGGAAGTAAGATTGTCTTTAGATAAGCCAAGAATTGCAACAGAGGCATAATTGTAGGTGAATGTTGTGTCTTACTGGCTGGCGGCATGATGGCGGTGCTGTCTTGGTGGTTACTACTGACAACCTGTAACATTAAAACATGTCTTATTTAATGCTGAGAATTATTTAATTCGCGCTCGTGATGACCAAATCAATATATATGTATCTCTCCTTCAGAAGTTAGTTTGCACATTTATGCTGCGGTCATTTAAGAAATAAGCATTTGAATTTGAGAATTTGGTTCAATGCTGCAAACTGCGTCAAAGCAAGAATATTGACATATATATATATCGTTAAAAAAAGATTATATGATATATCAAAAGACCGATAATTTATGGAGGCGAAACATTAGTTTATTTGAGTGTAGTAATGACTAGAAAAAGACTGACAATAGAAATAGTTCGAGAATTTTATGATGCAAACAATAAGATTCGCCCGCAACTAACATTAACATATCTAGGCGTTTCTCTACTAAGGTTATGAGCGATGAATGTTAAAGGCACCTGAATTTTCTGCCAGTACCAATATCTGACACTGTGCCTGTTTTGAGGAGGTTAACTATTTGTAATTACCTATCTATAGTTACTGGAACAGAGCTAAACCGGTGGTATACAGTCATTAGTATTTATTCTATCACAATTTTTTGAGGAGGGTGGTTACCCTTGATGCCGCGTCTTGATAAACTCTCCATTTAAAAGCAAATGGGTAAATGATAGATTTTAAGTTGTACAATTTGAACGGCAGGCGATGCAACATCCTCCCAATGAAGAGCAGGGGCGTCATGAGTACGCTAAGAGACAACACAATAAGTGTCAGGGGCCCAAGACTGCTCAACTGCCTCCCAGATTACATAAGGGGGGATTACCGATACACCCCTGACTGTCTTCAAGATGAAGCTGGACAAACACCTAAAATCGGTACCTGACTAGCCGGGCTGTGTGGTTCGTACGTCAGTCTACGAGTAGCCAGCAATAAGAGCCTGGTTGATCAGGCCCTGATCCACCGCGAGGCCTAGTCACGGATCGGGCCACGGGGAGTTTACCTGGAGAGAGTTCTGGGGGTCAACGCCCCCGCGGCCCGGTCTGTGACCAGGCCTCCTGGTGGATCAGAGCCTGATCAACCAGGCTGTTACTGTTGGCTGCACGCAAACCAACGTACGAGCCACAGCCCGGCTGGTCAGGAACCGACTTTAGGTGCTTGTCCAGTGCCAGCTTGAAGACTGCCAGGGGTCTGTTGGTAATCCCCCTTATGTGTGCTGGGAGGCAGTTGAACAGTCTCGGGCCCCTGACACTTATTGTATGGTCTCTTAACGTGCTAGTGACACCCCTGCTTTTCATTGGGGGGATGTTGCATCGTCTGCCAAGTCTTTTGCTTTCGTAGTGAGTGATTTTCGTGTGCAAGTTCGGTACTAGTCCCTCTAGGATTTTCCAGGTGTATATAATCATGTATCTCTCCCGCCTGTGTTCCAGGGAATACAGGTTTAGGAACCTCAAGCGCTCCCAGTAATTGAGGTGTTTTATCTCCGTTATGCGCGCCGTGAAGGTTCTCTGTACATTTTCTAGGTCAGCAATTTCACCTGCCTTGAAAGGTGCTGTTAGTGTGCAGCAATATTCCAGCCTAGATAGAACAAGGGGGCGTTAACCCCCCAAAACGCCTTTCAGGTATTGGTTCAAATTAAATTTAAGCATTTCTTTATCAATTTACTCATTGAGTTTATTGTGAACAATATATATGGGCATTCCATTTTTTTATATAAAAATTTACTTCTACAAGTCTGCAAACGAGAGCAAAATATACCGAAATAGTCATCACTCACGCTAGTCTTTGAGGATTGTTATTTATTAATGAGGAATATCTGTCGACAAATTAGACAACTGATTTATATAATGCTTATTAGAGTTCTAAGATATTTATCTGCTTTTTTGCTTATTTATATTATTGGTTTATTTAATTAAGGGGAGATAAAAATAACAAATGATTGATTTAAAAGTGAAACGAAAGGATTTTGATGTTTATGTTTTTACGTGACGTAGCTTCATGACGTCCCATGTATGGAGGAACTTGGGACAGTAAGTGTGAAGCAGTAAAAAATGTAGGTTTATCTGGTTAATGGGTACTGAATGAGATATTGTTAATAAAAGCAATAATGGGGATCTAGAATGGGTGAATATCACCCATAAAGCAGTAATAGTGGTCTAATAATTGGTGAATATTACACATTAAGTGGTAATGGGGATGTACAATTAGTGCCCTTCCTTAAAGTAGTAATGTGGAATTAGAATAGATAAGTATTGCCCTTAAAGCAGCAACTGGGGCATAAAATGGGCAGTTATCACCAGTAAAATAACACTTGGGATTTAAAAATGGTAAATACCACTTCGACTGACCTAGGAACAACAGGTGAAGCAACTGAACACCACAACCAACCTATCACTACCAGGGCGAGTTAACTACACCAACACACACATGTGTACCTGTTCTCACTATGGTAACCTGGTGTCTACACTAGTCACTGCTACCTCTGTGTCAAACAAAATATACCTCTTAATATATCATTATATCAGTACAAGGGAAGTTGCTCTTGGATTACATAGTCATACCTTACAAGAACTTTTTTTTTAATGTATGGCAGATTTGTAGATGGAATATTAGCTATATATATAGCTTTGTATGAGGTAAGAAAATATGGTATTGTAGAAAAATGGCATCAATGGCGTTACTTGACAACCATAAAACAATTTGAAGTGGTGATACAGTAACTAAAACTTAAAAAAAAAAGTAAGGTTGAGCTTCGACTATGGTACAAATATATCTGGAATTTTTGCACCAACAGCTGATGTAAATCTATAACCAAGTGTAAACTTTATATGCTAATTTATTCTTACCGTTTGTGTCACTGTATTTGTGAATGACAACAATCAGAAGAATTTGGGAACAATTTTTTCACAAATATTTAACTAAATATCCGGATATTTCACCCATAATAATAAACAGTATTATAAAACTACGAAACCAGTATCCCGCCTATTACAATCCTTATCTTCTTTTTGCACAATCAAAACATTAGATACGCCTTGTTATGAGGCTACTCTGAATTATGTAACATTATGAAGGATTACAGCAAGAAGTGAAACTGTATCTTAAAGGTAACTACAAGCAAGGAGTGTTGAATTCACCTTAGGAAAATTGTTAATTTACGTATATTGTGATATAATTTACCTAATATAACAGCAGGTTTTTTGACTACTACAGAAGTATTGATGTTAATTAGGTCATAATCTCTCACTACATGACAGGTCATTAAGGCTGCATGTCACCTGTTCTCCACCAAAGTGGAGATTATATACAAGATTATATGCAAGATTATATGCAAGATTATAGACACATCTTGGTGTATATAATCTTGTAGTTAACACTGGACCACTTATAGAGGATCACCAATAAAATAATATTCAATCTGTTTTTACCTGGAGAGGGTTTCAGGGGTCAACGCCCCCGCGGCCCGGCCTGAGACCAAGCCTCGTGGTGGATCAGGGTCTGATCAACCAGGCTCTTACTGCTGGCCGCATGTAAACCAACGTACGAACTACAGCCCGGTTGATCAGGTGCTGACTTTACGGTGTCTGTCCAGCGTCTTGTTGAAGACAGCCAGGGGTCCAGTGCCTTCTTGAAGACAGCCAGGGGTCTAGCGTCTTGCTGAAGACAGTCAAGGGTTCAGCGTCTTGTTGAAGACAGCCAGGGGTCCAGCGTCTTGTTGAAGACAGCCAGGGGTCCAGCGTCTTGTTGAAGACAGCCAGGGGTCCAGTGCCTTCTTGAAGACAGCCAGGGGTCCAGAGTCTTACTGAAAACAGTCAAGGGTCCAGCGTCTTGTTGAAAACAGCCAGGGGTCCAGTGCCTTCTTGAAGACAGCCAGGGGTCCAGCGTCTTGCTGAAGACAGTCAAGGGTCCAGCGCCTTGTTGAAGACAGCCAGGGGTCCAGCGTCTTGTTGAAGACAGCCAGGGGTCCAGCGTCTTGCTGAAGACAGCCAGGGGTCCAGCGTCTTGCTGAAGACAGTCAAGGGTCCAGTGCCTTCTTGAAGACAGCCAGGGGTCCAGTGCCTTCTTGAAGACAGCCAGGGGTCTATTTTAATTATATTTTAGTTATATTTTCAGTATAATATTACACTAGAAAGTCAGTAGTAATGATATACCACAAATATGAATGAAACTTTAACTTAAAACCACCATTAATTGTTAAGCATATGACTGATAAAAGAGGATGGGCAGGATGTGAACATATTTTGAGTTAGGTGTGAGCTTCGATAGATAGTAGATAAAGGTAGACATATAATATGGGTAGATGAATAGCAGTAATGGGTAAGACAGTTTGAAGAGAATGTTGTCCCTAAGTGTATATCTCTGTTGTGAATTAGAGCGATAGTTTGTGTGTATTTGTTAACATTTGGTGACTCACTATAATGAAGGTATGTAGTACCGACAACCTGATAAATAACACACATGTGTAACCCCTTGGTATCTTTATTTCTGAAACGTTTCGCCTACACAGTAGGCTTCTTCAGTCGAGCACAGAAGTGAGTAAAACTGGAGACAGCAGGAACAGCGGGGCGGTAAAGTTGATGTGAAGAATCAACCAGTCTTGAAGTAGTTTAGTGTCTGTTTTTCAGACCTTGAAGGCCCTTAGACGGATTTCGGCGGCTGTTGATTACCAAAAAGATATATCATATTATTAATGGTATCCAGTACCGACAACTTGATAAGTAAGACACACTTTCGACACTTGTGTATCTTTGCTGACGACACGTTTTGCCTGGGCAGCAGCCTTCATCAGTCGAATACAGAGATGATTACAATCCTGGTAGTAGAAATGGAAAGATAATTTGAGGTGATCAGTCCCTCGGCCCTCAGCCTCGATGAAAGATGGTCGGTCTCTTAGCCTAGATAGAGACTGAGAGACTGACCTTGACGCTGGTGAGGAGTGTTTGTTGCAAGGAACTGAATTCATCCTTCCTTTGGATAGACCCTGAATGTCTTCCATTCCCCCAGGCGCTATATGACTCCTACGAGCTTAGCGCTTCCCCCTGGTTAAAATAAAAATTCAATGGAGACAAATGTATTATTAATGGGGAGGCGCCAAACCCGTAAGGATCATACAGCGCCTAGATAATTGAAGGGGTTGGGGTAATTAGGTTTGAGCTAAGAAAAGGCAGGGTAGCTCCAGTTCTCTGGTTTCAGAGCCTTGCACTAGCTTCAAGGCTTCTGCCTTCCCTCCTTGAAGGGTACATGATGGGTGCAGCAACTGTATGTCAATATACTCAACTGGTAAACAAAGTTGCTAGGCAGCTCTCTCTCTCTCTCTCTCTCTCTCTCTCTCTCTCTCTCTCTCTCTCTCTCTCTCTCTCTCTCTCTCTCTCTCTCTCTCTCTCTCTCTCTCTCTCCTATTCTGATCCAGCTTGATCCCTTTAAATAATTTTAATTCATCCGTTGTTGCACCCTGCAGGTGTCTCAGATTTTGTATATATAATATATATATATATAATATATATATATATATATATATATATATATATATATATATATATATATTATATATATATATATATAAGAGAGAGAGAGAAGAAGAGAGAGAGAGAAGTACCACCACTATAGCTGTACTGGGGACCCTCATCCTCAGAGAAGACAATAAACGCACCTCAGGGGAAAACTCAAGGTTCTCCCCGGAGCTGTTTGAATATTTTCTTCTCCTACCACCCCCTATATTTTATATTCTATGTGAACATTTATTAATAAACAGAATACATTTACAGAAAACACATACATGAATACAATGGTGCAATGTGTTAAAGATCATGAATTTCCTCCAGCTCCTCCGAAGCCGGACGCGAGCCAAGTATGCAGCAAGCATTTTCCCTCTGGATGGCCACGCTGAGGCACTGGAACATGAAAGTGGCTGCCCTTGGGTCCCTGGTGGTGTCGATTAGTCTGGAACCCAATTCTTTAAGGAAACGTGTGGTATTTTTTCCCCATGATCCCAAGGTTTCTGATCCCACTGGGATAAATTGATACTCTTGGCTTATGTCCCTGTACTTGCTGATCTTGTACTCCTCCCTGTGGTCAGCAGCTCCTCCTTGTCGCCCGACACTGTGATGGATATATATATATATATTATATATATATATATATTATATATATATATATATATATATATATATATATATATATATATATATATATATATATATATATATATATATAATGTGTGTGTGTGTGTGTGTATAGAAATGGACTTACAAAGCCGTACAAAGGTAAAGAGGCGGAATAATATAAAAAATATCGTTTGAATGAGCGTTTATTAAGTTGTAAATACAGGTTGGCGCTGTATGACCCTTGTAGGTTTAGCGCTTCTTTTTTTATTATAATAATAATAATGTAAATACAGGTTTTGGGTACATTTGTTTAGCAGGTCGCTGGAGCCATCTGGGAGGAAGGGAGCTGGAGGAACCAGCTGGGAGGATCAGAGGAAGGGAGCTGGAGGAACCAGCTGGGCAGCGTACTGGTCGAGGTCAACGAGGTCAGAGTCCTTCATGGGAAGGGAGAGTATTAGTTCCTCAGCCTCGTCCTGCGTCAGGGCCTCCCCTTCACAGGTCAAGAGACGAAGCAGGTCCTCTCTGCTCAGGCTCCCAGCTGGCCGGAACTGTCACAGTCAACAATAAATAATCAAACGAGAGAAAAATCGTCTCGCTTATTTTTTACCCGTTCTCACCTAACATGCTGGACTTGTCCTTCTTTTATTACGTTCAAATCTGCACGAGTATCATTCGAGGTGCGAGAATTATTATTATATTCACTTTGAGCACTAAACCATATGGATCTTACAAAGATTACCTGGAGTTTACCTGGAGAGAGTTCCGGGGGTCAACGCCCCCGCGGCCCGGTCTGTGACCAGGCCTCCTGGTGGATCAGAGCCTAATTAACCAGGCTGTTTCTGCTGGCTGCACGCAAACCAACGTACGAGCCACAGCCCGGCTGATCAGGAACCAACTTCAGGTGCTTGTCCAGTGCCAGCTTGAAGACTGCCAGGGGTCTGTTGGTAATCCCCCTTATGTATGCTGGGAGGCAGTTGAACAGTCTCGGGCCCCTGACACTTATTGTATGGTCTCTTAACGTGCTAGTGACACCCCTGCTTTTCATTGGGGGGATGTTGCATCGTCTGCCAAATCTTTTGCTTTCGTAGTGAGTGATTTTCGTGTGCAAGTTCGGTACTAGTCCCTCTAGGATTTTCCAGGTGTATATAATCATGTATCTCTCCCGCCTGTGTTCCAGGGAATACAGGTTTAGGAACCTCAAGCGCTCCCAGTAATTGAGGTGTTTTATCTCCGTTATGCGCGCCGTGAAGGTTCTCTGTACATTTTCTAGGTCAGCAATTTCACCTGCCTTGAAAGGTGCTGTTAGTGTGCAGCAATATTCCAGCCTAGATAGAACAAGTGACCTGAAGAGTGTCATCATGGGCTTGGCATCCCTCGTTTTGAAGGTTCTCATTATCCATCCTGTCATTTTTCTAGCAGATGCGATTGATACAATGTTATGGTCCTTGAAGGTGAGATCCTCCGACATGATCACTCCCAGGTCTTTGACGTTGGTGTTTCGCTCTATTTTGTTAGTTTAATATGTTTATTATGCACCCCATACCCATCCTGTGGGCGGTAGTCAAAAGATTACAGAGGTACATAATTGGTCCAGGGACTGGACTCCAAAGTTTTGATAGCTGAGCAAGTTACAGAGGTAATGAACTCACAATTTACAAAGGTAATGAACTCACAATTTACAAAGGTAATGAACTCACAATTTACAAAGGTAATGAACTCCAGGTAAGTCTGGTCACAATCATGACAGGTTACAAAGGTATTTACAGATTACAGAGGTACGTAATGGGTCCAGGGACTGGGCCCCCAAAGTTTTGATAGCTGAACTAGGTACAAAGGTAATGAGCTCACAAGTTACAAAGGTAATGAATTCTGTAGAATGGTTACTTACGTTTATACATGGCTACAATCATGAACAAATTATAGAGTAATGAGCAATTCACACTTCCACACCCGGTCACAACTGTAATGAGTTATTGGTGCAAATATTGATTGTTGAGTCACACACACCACACACACACACACACACACACACACACACACACACACACACACACACACACACACACACACACACACACACACACACACACACACACACACACTTTAGTTTAATATCTTTATTATGCACCCCATACCCATCCTGTGGGCGGTAGTCAAAAGATTACAAAGGTACATAATGGGTCCTGGGTAATGGATAATGGGGCTCTATTTTGTGGCCAGAATTTGTTTTGTACTCTGATGAAGATTTAATTTCCTCGTGCTTACCATATCTGAGTAATTGAAAATCTCATCGTTGAACTTCATATTGTTTTCTGCAGCCCACTGAAAGATTCGGTTGATGTCCGCCTGGAGCCTTGCAGTGTCTGCAATGGAAGACACTGTCATGCAGATTCGGGTGTCATCTGCAAAGGAAGACACGGTGCTGTGGCTGACATCCTTGTCTATGTCGGATATGAGGATGAGGAACAAGATGGGAGCGAGTACTGTGCCTTGTGGAACAGAGCTTTTCACCGTAGCTGCCTCGGACTTTACTCTGTTGACGACTACTCTCTGTGTTCTGTTAGTGAGGAAATTATAGATCCATCGACCGACTTTTCCTGTTATTCCTTTAGCACGCATTTTGTGCGCTATTACCCCATGGTCACACTTGTCGAAGGCTTTTGCAAAGTCTGTATATATTACATCTGCATTATTTTTGTCTTCTAGTGCATTTAGGACCTTGTCGTAGTGATCCAATAGTTGAGACAGACAGGAGCGACCTGTTCTAAACCCATGTTGCCCTGGGTTGTGTAACTGATGGGTTTCTAGATGGGTGGTGATCTTGCTTCTTAGGACCCTTTCAAAGATTTTTATGATATGGGATGTTAGTGCTATCGGTCTGTAGTTCTTTGCTGTTGCTTTACTGCCCCTTTTGTGGAGTGGGGCTATGTCTGTTGTTTTTAGTAACTGTGGGACGACCCCTGTGTCCATGCTCCCTCTCCATAGGATGGAGTTCCATGAGTCTGGCCCTGGGGCAGAGTGCATGGGCATGTCATTTATCGCCTGTTCGAAGTCATTTGGCGTCAGGATAACATCGGATAGGCTTGTGTTAACCAAATTTTGTGGCTCTCTCATAAAAAATTCATTTTGATCTTCGACTCTCAGTCTGGTTAGCGGCTTGCTAAAAACTGAGTCATATTGGGACTTGAGTAGCTCACTCATTTCCTTGCTGTCATCTGTGTAGGACCCATCTTGTTTAAGTAGGGGCCCAATACTGGACGTTGTTCTCGACTTTGATTTGGCATAAGAGAAGAAATACTTTGGGTTTCTTTCGATTTCATTTATGGCTTTTAGTTCTTCCCGCGATTCCTGACTCCTATAAGATTCCTTAAGCTTAAGTTCGATGCTTGCTATTTCTCTGACCAGTGTCTCCCTACGCATTTCAGATATATTGACCTCTTTTAGCCGCTCTGTTATTCTTTTCCGTCGCCTGTAAAGGGAGCGCCTGTCTCTTTCTATTTTACATCTACTCCTCCTTTTTCTTAGAGGAATAAGCCTTGTGCATACATCGAGTGCCACCAAGTTAATCTGTTCTAGGCATAAGTTGGGGTCTGTGTTGCTTAGTATATCTTCCCAGCTTATATCGGTTAGGACTTGGTTTACTTGGTCCCACTTTATGTTTTTGTTATTGAAGTTGAATTTGGTGAATGCTCCCTCGTGACTAGTCTCATTATGTCGGTCTGGGGCTCCACGCATAATGTCTGAACCTCAATTATGTTGTGATCTGAGTATATTGTTTTTGATATGGTGACATTTCTTATCAGATCATCATTGTTAGTGAAGATGAGGTCTAGTGTATTCTCCAGTCTAGTAGGCTCTATTATTTGCTGGTTTAAATTGAATTTTGTGCAGAGATTTAAAAGCTCGTGTGAGTGTGAGTTTTCATCAGAGCTGCCTCCTGGTGTTATTACTGCAACAATATTATTTGCTATATTCCTCCATTTTAGGTGCCTTAAGTTGAAATCCCCCAGGAGCAAGATGTTGGGTGCAGGAGCTGGAAGATTTTCCAGACAGTGGTCAATTTTTAACAGCTGTTCCTGGAATTGCTGGGATGTTGCATCCGGAGGCTTGTAGACTACCACAATGACTAGGTTTTGGTTCTCGACCTTTACTGCTAAAACTTCCACTACATCATTTGAGGCATTTAGCAGTTCTGTGCAAACAAGATTGTTTCATGAGGCTTAACCAAATTTGATTCCGTGTACCTGGAGGGGGTTTCGGGGGGTCAACGGCCCCGCGGCCCTGGCCGTGACCATGCCTCATAGTGGATCAGAGCCTGATCAACCAAGCTATTACTGCTGGCCGCACGTAAACCGACGTACGAGCCACAGCCTAGCTTGTCAGGTACTGACTTTAGATGCCTGTCCAGCGCTTTCTTGAAGACAGCCAGGGGTCTATTGGTAATCCCCCTTATGTATGCTGAGAGGCAGTTGAACAGTCTTGGGCCCCTGACACTGTGTTGTCACATGGCGTACTCGTGGCGCCCCTGTTTTTCATCAGGGGGATGTTGAATCTCCTGTCGAGTCTTTTGCTTTCGTAGGAAGTGATTTTTTTGTGTGTGCAGATTTGGGACTAGACCCTCTAGGATTTCCCAAGTGTATATCATCATGTATCTTTCTCGCTTACGATCCAAGGAGTACAAATCAAGGGACTTCAACCATTCCCAGTAATTTAGGTGCTTTATCGTACTTATACGTGCTGTGAAAGTTCTTTATATATTTTCAAGGTTTGCAATTTCGCCAGCATTGAAAGGGGCCGTTGGTGTACAGCAATATTCCAGCCTAAAGAGAACAAAAGATTTGAGGAGAATCATCATTGGCTTGGCATCTCTAGTTTTCAAGGCTCCCATTATCCATCTTATAATTTTCCTAGCAGACTTGGTAGATAAGTTGTTGTGATCTTTGAAAGTGAGATTCTCTGACATTATCACTTTCAGGTTCTTCACATTAGTTTTTCGCTCTATTGTGTTTTCGGAGTTTGTTTTATACTCCGATAGTTTTTATTTCCGCGAGTTTCCAATAGCGGGGTATTTGAAATTTGTCTTCATTGAACTTCATGTTGCTTTCCGTGGCCTGGTGGAAAAGTTCTTGCTTCACATGCTGAGTGTCCGGGTTCGATTCCTGGCAAGGGTGGCAATATTGGGCGTGTTTCCTTACACCGGTTGTCTATGTTCACTCATCAGTAAAAATGGGTACCTGGGTGCTAGTTGACTGGTGTGGGTCGCATCCTGGGACAAAATTGACATAATTTGCCCGAAATGCTCTGCATAGCAAGCGGCTTTCTATATAGTAGTATGTCATTGATGTCAGCTAGGACTGTATACTATGTACATGTACTTGTAGAAATAAAGATATTATATTGGAGATGTGCAGTGTCTTCGATGAATGACACTGTCATGCAAATTCGGGTATCATCCTCAAAGGAGAACACATTGCTGTGGCTTACAGCTTTGTCTATGTCAGATATAAGGATGAGGAACGAGATGGGAGTACTGTACCTTGTGGAACAAAGTTTTTCACTGTAGCTGCTTCTGACTTTACTCTGTCTATGTTAAGAAGTTATAAATCAATCTACTCACTTTTCCTATTATTCCTTAATCACGCATTTTGTGTGCTATTACACCATGATCCTACTTGTAGAAGGCTGTAGCAAAGTCTGTGTACAATACATCTGTATTTTGTCCTCAGGAGCATCAAAGACCATGTCATAGTGGTCCAGTAGTTGTGAGAGGCAGGAGCGACCTGACCTAAACCCATGTCGCCCTGGGCTGTGCAACTGTTGGGTATCTAAGTGGGTGGCGATCTTGCCTCTTAGAACCCTTTCGAAGATTTTTATGATGTGGGACGTTAGTGCTATCGGTCTGTAATTCTTTGCAATTGCTTTACTTCCACCTTTGTGGCAGTAAAGCAATGGAGTGGGGCTATGTCTGTTGTTTTTAGTGAGTGTTGGATGGCCCCTTTGTCCATGCTCCCATTCCATAGAATATTTAAGGCACGTGAAAGGGGCTTCTTGCAGTTCTTGATGGACACGGAGTTCCACGAGTCTGGTCCTGGGGCAGAGTGCATGGGCATGCCATTTATTGATTTTTCAAAATCTTGTAGTGTTAGGATAATATCATAAATTCTTGAATTTACCAAATTTTGAGTCTCGGTCAAAATTTTTTATTTAGATTGTCTACCCTTAGTCTGATTAACGGCTCACTAAAAGCAGTCATATTGGGACTTCAGTATCGTAATCTTTTCTTTGCTGTTGTCTGTGTAAGTCCCGTCTCGTTTAAGCAGGGGTCCAATACTGGATGTGGTTTTTGCCCTAGATTTGGCATAAGAAAATGAGTATTTTGTTTTTTCAATTTCATTTATGGTTTTAAGTTTTTCCTGTATTTCTTGTCTCCTGTATGTGATCCCACTGTATGTTTTTGTTACTGAGGTTCAATTTGGTGAAAGCACTCTCATAACTAATCTTTTGCTGGTCAGGAGCCCTGCGCATACATGTCTGTACCACTGTTATGTTATGATCTGAGTGTATTGTCTTTGATACTGTTATATTTCGTGCCAAGTCATCAAAACTTTGGGGGCCCAGTCCCTGGACCCATTATGTACCTCTGAAATCTGTAAATACCTTTGTAACTTGTCATGATTGTGACCAGATCTACCTGGAGTTCATTACCTTTGTAACCTGCTCTGCTATCAAAACGTTGAGGCCCAGTCCCTGGACCCATTATGTACCTCTGTATTCTTTTGACTACCGCTCACAGGATGGGTATGTGGTGCATAATAAACATTAAACTAACTAACTAAAAGGTCAAGTGTATTTTCCAGTGTTGCTGGCTTAAGGTGAATTTGTTGCAGAGATTTAATAGCTCATGCGTGTGTGTGAATTTTCATCTGAGCTGCCTCTTGGGGTTATTTCTGCTAAAACATTATTTGCTACATAGGTGTTTGGGGCAGGAGTTTGGAAATTTTCCAGGCAGTAGTCAATTTTCAATTTCCAACCCCTCCTTGTTGCTTTTTTTTCTGTCGCATCTGAATAAGTTATAACCTGGGAGCCATATTTCTTTGTTAAAATGATCCTTTGTGTGGGTCTCTGTGGACTGTGATCAGTCCACTGATGAAAGGTATTTTGTTGTTTGCTGATGACCTTAGACCCTGTATATTTGCAAAAATAAATGTTGTATTGATGGTATGTAGGGATCTTTTTTTGCTGGCACTAATATCTGTTGTTCTGGAGTGGGGGCCACTGATGGTGCCTCCACTCCAGTAGTGATCCGAGGTGGTGTAGTATTTCTGTCATTTCCTGTCAGATTCTTTTTCTTCCTGGCACTAAAAAATTTCTTTATCTGTTGGGTGTACCACCTCTAGTATTTCCCAATTTGGCCTGTACCTTCTTGCTCAAAGGGTGGCCAGGGGTACATTTTCCCTTTAATAACGAACAAAATTACAAGAAAATAATTTTAAGAAAGAATTAGTAAAATTTAATTTTTTCCCACCAGCTAGTGATGCACTCTCACAAATTTGAATCTTGATTACCTCCGGGCATTCAACAATCACAATACACTAGGTGGTTTTTTAAGTAACGAAGAACATCATAAAATATTTAGGGATGTTTTTGAGTTGAAGCCTTACCACTGTTCTTCCATCCCTAAACAATTTCCCTTACTCTGGCTTCGGGGTCTTCCAGTAGTCCTGCCTTTTTCCCCCATAGAACTTTCTTGTTGCCCCCAAACCCTGAAAACACATCACCCAAAACTAGCTCTTTGTACACGTAAACTTCGATAAAGATTAATTTTCCCACCTTATTTGACATATTATTCCTTTTATAAAATAAGCTATAATAAAAGCTTCTAAGCATTAAGTTTACCAGAATAGATTAAAATTATAGCTTCCCTTTTCAGATGAGTTTCTTACTATGGTAAAAGGGCCAAATGTTGTCAGCACTCTCATCTCTAACATAGTCCACGGGCTTTCATCTGTTGTTAACCAGCCGGGCAACAAAACTTTGTACCATTAAATATATTCAAATTTATTCCAAAAATTATTGTTGTAACCATGAAACAAAAGTAATGTTTCACCACTCTAAAAGAGTCTGTTTTAACCGCTCAAAAGTCATTTAAAAAGGTAACAAGGCATAGTTTACAATTTGGCTAAAAAATTTATTTGTCCCCTGTGGTTGCTGTTGTACACCAGTTTGGCTAACAAGAGTCATGTTTACACCAGCTGGCTAACGATAATGTTGTACACCAGCGGGCTAACGAGTCATGTTGACACCAGCGGGCTAACAAGAGTCATGTTGTAAAACCAGCTGGCTAACAAGAGTCATTTTTACACCAGCTGGCTAACAAGAGCCCATTTGTACACCAGCTGCAACGAAGAGTCAGTTTTTACACCACGGCTAACAAGAGTCATGTTGTACACCAGCTGGTTTAACAAAAAGTCATTGTACCCACTGGTACAAGAGCCCAGTTGTACACCGCTGGCTAACAAGATTTATGTTGTACACCAGCTGGCTAACAAGATCATGTGTACACCAGCTGGTAACAAGAGTCATGTTGTACACCAGCTGGCTAACAAGAGTCATGTTGTACACCCGCTGGCTAACAAGAGTCATGTACACCAGCTGGCTAACAAGAGTCATGTTGTATACCAGCTGGCTAACAAGAGTCATGTTGTACACCAGCTGGCTAACGAGAGTCATGTTGTACACCAGCTGGCTAACGAGAGTCATGTTGTACACCAGCTGGCTAACGAGAGTCATGTTGTACACCAGTTTGGCAAACCCAAGAATCATGTGAAACACCAGCTGGCTAACGAAGTCATGTTGTACACCAGCTGGCTAACAGAGTCATTTTTGTCCCACCACTGGCTAACGAGAGTCATTTTTGTACACCAGCTGGCTAACGAAGTCATGTTGTACACCAGCTGGCTAACAAGAGTCATGTTGTACACCAGGGGCCCTAACGAGAGTCAGTTGTACACCAGCGGGCTAACAAGTCATGTTGTACACCAGCTGGCTAACAAGAGCCCTGTGTACACCACTGGCTAACAAAAGTCATGTTGTACACCAGCTGGCTAACAAGAGTCATGTTGTACACCAGCTGGCTAACAAGAGTCATGTTGTACACCAGCTGGCTAACAAGAGTCATGTTGTACACCAGCTGGCTAACAGAGCCATGTTTTTACACCACCTGGCTAACAGAGTCATGTTGTACACCAGCTGGCTAACAGAGTCAAGTTGTACACCAGCTGGCTAACAAGAGTCATGTTGTACACCAGCTGGCTAACAAGAGTCATGTTGTACCCCAAATGCTAACAAGAGTCATGTTTACACCAGTGGCTAAAAAGGGAGTCAGTTGTACACCAGCTGGCTAACAAGAGTCATGTTGTACACCAGCTGGCTAACAGAGTCATGTGTACACCAGCTGGCTAACAAGAGTCATGTTGTACACCAGCTGGCTAACAGAGTCAGTTGTACACCAGCTGGCTAACAAAGTCATGTACACCAGCTGCTAACAAGATTTTACCCCTGGCTAACAAGAGTCATTTTGTACACCACTGGCTAACAAGTATGTTTACCCAGCTGGCTAACAGATCATGTACACCAGCTGGCTAACAAGAGTAAATGTTGTACACCAGCTGGCTAACAAGAGTCATGTTGTACACCAGCTGGCTAACAAAGTCATTTTGTACACACAGCGGTTTAATAAGAGTCATGTTGTACACCAGCTGGCTAACAAAAATAAATGTAAAACCAGCTGGCTAAAAAAGGTCATTTTTACCAGCTGCTAACAAGTCATGTACACCAGCTGGCTAACAAGAGTCATGTTGTACACCAGCTGGCTAACAAGAGTCATGTTGTACACCAACTGGCTAACAAGAGTCATGTTGTACACCAGCTGGCTAACAAGAGTCATGTTGTACACCAGCTGGCTAACAAGAGTCAGTTTACACCAGCTGGCTAAACAAGAGTCATGCTGTCCCCAGCTGGCTAACAAGAGTCATTTACACCAGCTGAAACAAAGTCATTGTACACCAGCTGGCAACAAAGTCATGGTACACCAGCTGGCTAACAAGAGCCATGCTGTACACAGCTGGCTAACAAGAGTCATGTGTACACCAGCTGGCAAACAAGAGTCATGTTGTACCCAGCTGGCTAACAAGATCATGTTTACACCATGGCTAACAAGAGTCTATTTACACCAGCTGGCTAACAAGAGTCATGTTGTCACCAGCGGCTAACAAGAGTCATTACCCCAGCTGGCTAACAAAGTCAGTTGTACACCAGCGGGCTAAAAAGAGTCATTTTTGTACACCACTGGCTAACAAGAGTCATGTGTACACCAGCTGGCTAACAAGAGTCATGTTGTACACCAGCTGGCTAACAAGAGTCATGTTGTACACCAGCTGGCTAACAAGGTCTTTTAAACCAGCTGGCTAAAAAGAGTCATTTGTACCATGGCTAACAAGAGTCATTTGTAGCCCCCACTGGCAACAAGAGTCATGTTGTACACCAGCTGGCTAACAAGAGTCATGTTGTACACCAGCTGGCTAACAAGAGTCATGTTGTACACCAGCTGGCTAACAAGAGTCATGTTGTACACCAGCTGGCTAACAAGAGTCATGTGTACAAAACTGCTAACAAGAGTCATTTGTACACCAGCTGGCTAACAAGAGTCAGTTGTACACCAGCTGGCTAACAAGAGTCAGTTGTACACTACGGCTAACAAGAGTCCAGTTGTCACCCAGCTGGCTAACAAGAGTCATGTACACCAGCTGGCAAACCCAAGAGTTTTGTTGTACACCAGCTGGCTACAAGAGTCATGTTACACCAGCTGGCAACAAGAGTCAGTTGTACACCAGCTGGCTAACAAGAGTCAGTTTAAAACCACGGGCTAACAAGAGTCATTTTTGTACACCAGCTGGCTAACAAGGGTCATGTACACCAGCTGGCTAAACAAGATCATGTTGTACACCAGCTGGCTAACAAGAGTCATGTACACCGCTGGCTAACAAGATCAATTTTTGTAAAACCAGCTGCTAACAAGAGTCATGTACACCAGCTGGCTAACAAGAGTCATGTACACCAGCTGGCTAACAAGAGTCATGTTGTACACCAGCTGGCTAACAAGAGTCATGTTGTACACCAGCTGGCTAACAAGAGTCATGTACACCAGCTGGCTAACAAGAGTCATGTACACCAGCTGGCTAACAAGAGTCATGTACACCACTGGCTAACAGAGTAAAGTTGTACACCAGCTGGCTAACAAGAGTCATGTTGTACACCAGCTGGCAAACAAGAGTCATGTACACCACGGGCTAAAAAGAGTCATGTACACCACTGGCTAACAAGAGTCTGTGGGTAGTTAGTTTAAAAACAAGTTGCCAACAATTGCAACAGTATCATGAAAGACCAGTCGAGGCGATGTGCTTTAGTTACCTTCCTAAGAACTCTTAATTATTTATATAGAAACTGCCGAGACTAACAAAACCCAGCCTAAGGTAAGTTAACCTTACTCCGCCAGCAGTACATACGGGACTGGTGCGCTTTTGCTTATATTCGATTAATTTTTTTAAGTATTTTGTGATAGGCCAGGAGCATCAATGCTAACTGTTGACTGGTCCTGACGTGCAACGCGCCTTAAAATTAAAGTATTATTTTTGCTAATGTCCCTGGCCGTCTTCATGAGGGAACTCGATTAATTCCTCAGATGAGTCCCTGACTATCTAGACTGCGGTGCATAATTTGAACAGAGTGCGGAGAGCACCAACAACCTGATCGATCAGGCCAACAACCAAGAGGTCTGGTCTGGGACCTAGCCAGGGGGCGGTGACCCCCGGAAGTGACTATACGTAATCTACAGGTATCTCCCAAAATAACAATTTTCACAAAAAAAATGGCAGCTTGTGCCGTGTTAAATACAGAATGTTGATATTAAAAAAGAAAGGAAATAATGTGCGATATTTCAAGGGGACTAGATTTTAATATAAGCCTCGTTATTATTTATTAACGTCTCACCTAGAGTTCTAATTATCGTTGGTATATCTTTGACAGATACAACATTCTTATCTTTATCTTGGAAGAACGTAAATACTTCGGTTAGCCTCTTATCCAGAGACATATTAACATGGGTAAGTTAAAGGTTGCTGCTGTTGTTATTGTTAAGTTGTTTACTGTTACCATGGTGACGGGCGGGTCCGTATACATGCCTAGCTTTTTAATATGAGGGCAAATTCATCATATGATTATTTTTAAGTTATTCGTTAATGAATTGCGTTAGTATTCATTGTCAGTGTTGTTATCATCATATGGTATGTCTGACTTTATTCCTGTTTTTTCCTGGGTGTGAATTGATGATAATCGCATGCTGAGTTAAATGTTATGAAATCTGATGATTTAGATATTTTGTTTATATGCGTACAAGTATATAAAGTTACTAATATACAAGAGAAAAGCAGTGAAGAAATATTAATTGGTGGATAAGAAGATAAAGTTAATTGTGAAGCGGCTCTTTAATTGCCTTTAGGTCATTCCTGATGGCTTGCACTTCTCTATTTTAGACTTACTTATCCATCACAAAACTGTGATTTATTATAAACAAATAAATTTATTATAAACGCAAATGTTTTCTATTTTGTTTGTTTTGTAAAGTCTTGTGGTGTTTTACGTTTACTTGTTTGACAAAATAGACCCACCAGGAGGAAATTCAGGAGAAAATACCAGCTTACCTTGATGGAAGGTAAGAAATAAACTACATGGAAAATGGCATAATACTAAGTGATAAAAATAGCTCCAATATTTTTATTTTTGCTCTTTAAGAGAAATACCTTGAAGACTATTTAATATACTTGAAATAAATATAGTTAGATGATAGTAATATACAAAGGCACAAATAGTCTGAATATTGAAGGGGGGGGACTGATCCACTAGGTTATGGCATCTCAGCTGAGAGCAGCTGTGAGGTTAAACTCTGCTAAACCTATTGCAACAATTGTTTGGTTTATAAATGGCAGCTTTATCACTCCAGATAAAGGTGTGAGCCTAAACACGAGGTTTATAACGAAAAGAAGAAAAATATTATCCTGGAAGATTATGTCCTACGTAACCTCGACTCAGTATTGTATATTTTAAACGGTAAGCATTTGTAATCTTTTATAGTTAGTAGGGTGGTGAACTCTAGCTCATGGTCCATCCTCTTAACCTTCTACTTGCTGCTGTCAGTTTTGTTATATTTGCTTTTAATCCCCTTATGGAGTGACCTATTATTGGGGGTCAGTGGCTCGAGTAGTAACGCCTGTTCACATCTGAAGGACCTGGGTTTGTTTCCAGTTCAAGTGGAAGTGGACATGTTTCCTTACACTTCTTGGCCCTGTTTATCTAACGGTCAGTAGGAGCCCCGTTGTTAGCCTACTGTTGTAAGTCACATCATGGGGAAGAGGATCGTAGGGTCCCAATGAAAATAAATACTGTATAGTGTTTTAATTGGGTCATCCTGGGTTATTATTCTCTTGAGTTAATAATCCAAATGAAATTGTCTTCATTATCACTGTCATTCATTGTCTAAATTTACTTAATTATTATACTGACATGTACTTTATATATTCTTAGAAGGGTCAGTTGACATAATTACAGTGGAACCTCGGCACTCGAACTTAATTGGTCCCAGAAAGCTGTTCAAGTGCCGATCTGTTCGAGCACAAAACAAATTTTTCCCAACCAATTTTCTGTTTGGTTGGCTGTTATCACAAACCCTCTTAGGCCCCATGGTAACTTATTTATACAAATAATATTAAAAACACCAAAAAATGTGAAGAAACACAAAATAATTTACAGCAGAGTTCTGGCATTTGTGCTTGTTTGGTCAAGTGCCGAGCAGTTGGTTGACTACTGAGCAATTTGTTTACCGAACAAAGCATTTGAATACCAAATTGTTTGAGTACAGAACTGTTCGAGTGCTGAGGTTGCACTGTACTTCCAGATCTTTCATGTGTTACTTTCGTGCTGTTTGATTATCCTCTTGGGTTTTGTATACAGTGTCCCCTTTGAGTTCTTCATTCTTTTCGTATCTAAGCAGTTGGAAACGATCTCTATTGAACATCATCATGTTCTCCATTGCTCACTGCCAATGGAAATAAGTCAGAGTGAGTGGCTTGGGTTACCCTAGGTTACTAACCCTCTACTTGGAGTCTACCTGGATTGTGTTCCACAGGTCAACACCCTTTTGACCCAGTATCAGACCAAGCATCCTTATGGATGGCCTGATCATCCAACCATGCATCACAGCCTGGCTGATAAAGACCATAAATAAAAATAATTATTTTCCTTATAATGGCAGTTTGCCAAGAGGTTTCTGCCATATTTACATTTTATCGTGAGCCTGAGGGTCGGGAGGTTATGTTAGTGGCCAGTTTAGGTCTCAGTGAAAAAATATGTTGGAAACTATTAATTTAAGCTTTCTTTCCTGTCTTCCTTCTTGAAAACTGGAATGTTAACCCTATTTTTGTAAACTGTCAGACAACACAGTGAGTAGTGGAAGCTTGATCATAAGTCCTCAGTTAATTTTTTATAAATAAAAATGTTAATCATTTTTAAAGGGGTGAACTGATAAGCTAGTGGAAGACTTCAGTCAGATGACTGAAAGCTCCATTGGTGGGTCATCATATGATTAAGACCAGCATCAAGAAACACTTGCTCTATTTCCTGACAAATTTTGCCCGACCTAACTATTTTCTTAATTTTAGTGCTTTGCACCATTTTTATAAACCTAAATGAAGAAGACTTTGTTGGGATTGTCAGTCCCTGAAGGTTAATAACCCAAGAAAGCCAAACAGTGTGCTTATTTCTGTTACTGTTCTAAGTCCTTTTCCAGTATATAAACTAAAACAACCGACTAACTCCTCAATATATATTTACTGCAAAGTGAACAGGGAGAGCAGATTTTAGAATACGTGCCCATACATCTTGCCTTGCCCAGGATTGATCCTGGGCTCTTTCAGTTGTAAACTGAAGTTCTACCCTGATCTATACTACTCACCAATGTTTTATTGCAAATCATTTGATACCTAGTAGATTGTGCTGAAAACTTCTCCCAAACTTGGCTATGATTTATTATTCAAGCAAATGATGGCAGCATTTACATTGTTTCATGTGTGCCAAACACTTAATAATTTTTAATTTTTACATAATCTCTTGCAGTATCATTCTATTGGTCATAATTTTTTTTTTCAGTTTAAGGCATCATGAATATTCGTAATGACTGAAGTTGGAAGTGGAATAGGGTCGTCATCAGTGGCGACCGGTCATGGCTGGCGACAGTGTCTCTATTGCCAAGGTCGCATCTTTAAACTTCCAAATGATTTTATTAAGTGAGCATTCTTGATGTGTTAAAAGAATATTTTATTACATAATATTGTATTTTATTGTCCACCTTCTATGAATTATATTTTTTCAGGCTTAATCATTACTCATAATACAGTGGACCCCCGCATAACGATCACCTCCGAATGCAACCAATTATGTAAGTGTATTTATGTAAGTGTGTTTGTACGTGTATGTTTGGGGGTCTGAAATGGACTAATCTACTTCACAATATTTCTTATGGGAACAAATTCGGTCAGTACTGGAACCTGAACATACTTCTGGAGTGAAAAAATATCGTTAACCGGGGGTCCACTGTATTTTGTTTATGATGTTTAATATTAATCCTAATGACTGTTACTGTAATACAAAGGTCATAAACTATAATGCTGTTTATATTGGAAAAGTTTTCTTAATTAATTTTTTAAAGTAACTTTCTGTTTCATCATACAATTCATCTCTGCAGACATATACGGGATTGCCATTGTGCAAAGGAAGGTGGAAGTTTTGTATGTAGGTATGGCTACAATGGTGTGTGTTCATCATTACCACTTGAGGGTGTGAGTGACCAGGATTATGAGGACCATGTATTAAAACACCATGCTTTCACCATGCTTAGCAAAGGTAAGGATGTATGTAATTGAAGTATGAGGTTTCATACTTCTTGCAGCCATTTGCATAATTAACAGTATGGTTTTAATTTCCAACATGCAGTTATTTTGTTTGTCTTGATTGTGATAAAAGTTTGTTAAACTCTCTAGCTTCTGTAAAGGTTAAGATAAAAAACATGAATGTCAGAAAGGTCATCTGCATTTAAGAAGTTGCCAGTTGCTGATCATAGTGTACAGAAATTGAGGATTGATTGTTTACTTTGATGAGTAAACCTAGTGTTATTCTTTTATTTTCCATTTTTTAGATGCCTGTATAATTTTGTTAAGTGTTTAAAAGGTTAAATATAGTTAAGCACTTTTGGTAGCACTAGTAGTAGTTTTATTATTGTCTGTAGTCTCAAAATTTATTATATATCCACAGGTATTAAACTGATGTACAGTTTTATATATTGAGAGAGTTTTTTATTATGAAGTGCAGTAATTATTTAGAAGTTTTCAAAAGTTTGTTGGATTATTTTTTAGGAAGTTCAGGAGTGATATCGAAGTCCCAAGCAAGAAGCAGAGAGGAGAAATGGGGCGTCTTCTCCTCAACTCAAAATGTTCCTTCTGTACTTAATGATCCAAGAAAGGGGATGACGGTATGATGAAAAAATTTTGTAATTAATAACTAAATTTTTTTTTGAAGAATTGAGACCTTAGGGAATCTTTATTGAAGAAATGTTTTGCCACACTGTGGCTTCATCAGTCCAATACAAAGCAGGAAGATATAAGGAGAGGAGTTTAGGTAATCAGTCCCTCAGCTTGGAATTGATGTGTTCAGTCCATCACTCTAGTAGGAAGGGCAGCATAGGGCCAGAAAAGTGGCTTATAAATTTTTTTTAACTTGCCATCTCCCATCAAAGTAGAGTGGTCTAAAAAAGGAAACACATTCACCATCATTCATTTAATTGCTCTAAGACCAGAAGTGCACAGACATCACAGTTCAAATGACCTTCCAAAATTATTATCTCACTTCTAAGGATACAGACCATTATTAGATACCATTAATATGTTTAGTGAAGCATTATTTGCATTTAACCTGGTGGAGAAGTTTGTGGTTTATGCTTAAGAGTAGGGAGCCCATTCTCTGGGGTTGGTGCCACTTTCCCAAAGGTGCTTGCCTGACTAAGAGCCCGATATCTATTTTTTCATAATTGGTGGGGATATTTTTCCTTTCATTTAAATAAGATTTAAATCTGCTAATACTCAAGGTCAGTGACATTGAATAAATTACAGTTATAGGTTGTGGAATGTGAAAAATTGACTTTAAATAGTTTCACTTGGTTTGTGATTATAATTTCTATTTAATGACAGTGAATTGGTTATGACAGAAGCAGGTTGATGGTGAAAGTGTAAATTGATAATGTCAAAAGCAGCATATTCTTAAATACTGAATAACCAAATGGTTCTAGTGTTTTGTAAAAAAAAAAAAATTAAATTGACCTCACCTTTTGTCTTTCCCTTTGTGTTGTGTGGGCATATATGTATGTATAATTATGTAGGTACAGTACATAAGTATATAAAACTGTGAAGGATCCCAAGAAGGGTTAAAAGTAGAATGTGAAGGATATTTTAAGTAGAGGCTTGAATATACAGCAAGCATACGAGAGTGATAGAACAAAACCAGAGGAAACAATTGTATTTTTTTTAATTAAACATGCTGTTGGGGTGTGATTAAGGGAATATTGCACTGTGAAGGGATTCATGGGAATCAGTTAGCCAGACTTGAGTACTGAGAGTGGGAAGCACAGTGACTGCATTTTGAATGATTCTTTTTTTTTTTTACAGGGTTTGACAAGGTTAAGGATCCCTAGCTTTATTGACAAGCTATTTACAGGTTAAGGATTCCTAACTTCATTGGCAAGCTAAGAGCTGTTACCTACATCAGCTCATTTGAAAGCATTTTTATTGTTATGAGACATACAAGTAGGGAACAGGATAAAGTTGGAGCCATCTGTGGGCCAGCATTTTCATGTGATCAACTGACTTTATCTCGTTGACATCATTATGCTGTACGAATGTGTTCCATACTCGAGTCATCCTGGGTATGTATGATCTCAGATGGAGTGATGTTCTGGAGAAGGTTACAGCCAGGGTGAAGTTGCTGCTTTCTGCCCGTCTTGTGGCATAAAAGCTTGTTTCGCGCTGTCCTCGAAGTGGATCCAAGTGTGGTACTTTGACAATATTGGCCTTGTACATAACAGTAAGGCCACCCACATCCCTCCTATGTTGAAGGCTCTGCTGAAATGACAGATCTATCCAGGATGGGTCCAGGCGAGAGTTGAGACGTCTTGCTCTGTTCTCTACTCTGTCAAGCAGTCGCAGATGAGAGGGGGGGGGGCAGGCAAACCAAGAAAGTGGAGCATACTCAAGGTGTGAGTGTACTTGTGCCTCGTACAGAATCTTGCAACCCCTACTGTCAAGCAGATGCGAGATACGGCGAAGTGCTCTAAGCTTCCTGGCTGCCTTGTTTGCAAGATTTACAACATGGTTCTTCATGGTTAGTTTGGAGTAAAATTTCACCCCAAGGATATCAACTTCTTCTCCAGGTGCCAGCACCCTCCCATTCATCTTTACTACTGCACCAGCATTACCATCATAGTGCCTAGAGACGATCATCATTTGCATTTTCTCAGGTGCAAATGTTACTTGCCATCTATTTCCCCAAGCTGATATAGCTCTCAGCTGGTGATTGATGTAGCTTAGAGCAGCTGGCATTTCTTCTCTTGGATAAGTGAATGTCAGTGTACAGTCGTCTGCATATGCATGTGATTCTGGGATGAGATGAAGAAGGTCGTTGAAGTAGACATTCCATAACAATGGTCCCACTACGCTTCCTTGTGGAACATTTGCCCCAATAGGATGTCTTGCTGATTCTGTTCCATCGAGAACTACACTTAGAGATCTACCATGAAGGTAATCACTGAGGAGACATAACGTAGAGCCTGCAATTCCCAGTGCTTGAAGTTTTGCTAAGAGGCCCTGGTGCCACACCCGGTCGAAAGCGCCAGCAATGTCCAGTGCTACCACACAGCTGACTTTGGATTCATCCAGTGACTGGTGCCACTTAGTGGAGAGGTTTAACAACAGATCAGCAGCAGAGTAACCTTTCCTGAAGCCATATTGACGATCACAAAGTAGTGAGTGATAGTCAAAAAAACTTGTCATTTGTCTTGAGATTATTGTCTCAAGGATCTTACCAGTGATTGACAGGAGTGACACTGGTCTGTAGTTGCTGATTTCTGCTCTGCTCTTCTTTTTGTGAACAGGGATTACATTTGCCTCTTTCCATATAGAGGGCCATTTACACTGTACTAGGCAGTGCTGAAAGATGCGAGTTAGAGGTGCTGCTAGCCGGTCTGCACATCTTCTCAGCAATCTTGGGCTCAACTTGTCTGGGCCCACAGCCTTTTCTTGGTCAAGCAATTTAAGAAGGAAATGCACCTCCTCCTGCCTTATTGTCACCATTGACAGTTTTGACACAGTTCTTGCAGCTAGCCAAGGAGGGTCCCTTGCTGGATCAGGAACTTGCATTTTGGTAGCAAAGTGTTCAGCAAAGAGGTCCGCCTTTTCTTGACTACTAGTAGAGGTGGTCCCATCCTGTCGATTTAGAGGTGGAATGAGTTCATCAGGCAGATAACCTTGTCTGTCCTTGACCAGGGACCACCAGGTTTTGGAGCCTACCCTACCTGATGCTAGCTTTCTTTTAGTGTCCACCTCCCATTTAGCAATGGCCCACTTTTGAACGTCACCCATATGTCTACAGGCTTTCCTGTGCAAGTTCCTGTTATAGGTGGTAGTATGTCTCTTATACCTTCGCCATGCTTTGTACTTAGCAGTAGCAGCCTCTCTACAATGAAAGCCAAACCAAGGCTGATCTGTAGGCTTCGTCACATATTTCCGGTGAGGAATGTGTTCTTGTTGTAGATTAAGGATGTGTCCAGTGAAGGCTTTCACTTGGTTGTCAACATCCCCTTGGAGAAGAGCATTCCAATCGGTGGTGGCGAGCTCAGAGCGAAGGGCTGGCCAATTACCTCTTTCCCATAGCCAGGTTGTGCGTGTGGACTCCTCACCTCGTTCTGTTGGAATCTTAAGTGTCGTAAAAACAGCCTTGTGGTCAGACGATCCAACATAGCCGAGGGGTTGACAAGTGACTATGCCTTCTGCCAGATCACTCACTACTGGGTCAAGGGAGGAGCCAGAGATGTGAGTAGGGAAATCAACAGTTTCTCATGTCAAACACTGCAAGAAGGTCATCAAAGTCCCTCTGTATAAAGTGCTGGTTGAGGTCACCAACAATTATGATATGTTGACAGTTGTGTTGTAGCAGAAGGGAGTCAATATTTTCCATTAGGAAGTTGATGGGGTCTGTATGTTGCCACTGAGGTCTGTACATTGCACATGCTAGTACAGAGGTACTAGTGTTTATACAGAGCTTGAAGAACATCATTTCAAGATGTGTAGGGGTGGCAACATCAATGTGCTGGGCATGAACACTTTTAGAGAAGCACACAGCAACACCTCCTCCTTGCCCTTGCCTTCTCTTCTCATCCATGATGGATGGAATGGTGCTTTTCAGAGGATCATTTGACTTTGTGATGTCCATGCAATTAAGGAATGACATCTATAGAATGAATGGTGGTGAATGTGTTTCCTTCTTTTGGGGACCTTGCCTTGATGGGAAACAGCTGATGTATTAAATAGGTTTTCATTAATGGAGAAGTACTTTTTTTATTTTTATTCAATACAGCCTCTCCTCACTTAACGACTGAGTTCTGTTCTTAAGACTATGTTGGTAAATGAGTTCATCGCTAAATGAGGAGCATACTATAGTGGTAGTGGGTTTGTGTCAACCATCTTTGATTTTGTTTTAATGTCACCTTTGCACCATTCATAACATTCTTAGTATATTTTTAAAGGTTTATACAGTAGTGTACTGTATATTGGAATAAACAGAATAAGGGAAATCAGCTTTTAATATACATTACACCTACCATCCAACTTACGACCTTCTTGACATACGACCACTTACGACCGTGTTTTGTATGCCAAATTTCTGGGAGATAAACAACTGTGTGTATTGTACACAGTGTTTATCCTAAACCTTACAGTATAAAATACAGTACTAACAGCATAAAAAGTAAAGTAAAAAATGAAATACCAAAATAAAACAAAATAAAGTCATTACAAAAATGTGATGTTGATATTCAGTAGTAAGGTTTGACTTACGTCCATTTTGACTTGTGACCGGTTGGTCAGAACCAAGCTCGATCATAAGTCGGATGGTACCTGTATTTAGGTGTGCATATTGGTCAGAGAATCTGTCGTGAGTCTGAGTCGTCGGTAAATGAGTATGTCACTAAGTGAGGAGAGGCTGTACTTCCTTGATGAAATATAGGAATCAGCTTGCTTGATATACTTTATGTACGTTTTACACACACAAATTTTAGGAAGAATAAACGCAAATTTTTTATTTTATTTAATGAAATTACTTAAATTTTTCAGCGTGATTTTTTCACTAAAACTTGGGGTGAAAGTTTTGTAGAAGTTCGAGAAATTCCTGCTCATGTGGCCCTCCCTCAAGTTACCACCAAACATGTGGAGTCTTATGTCAGGCGATTACGCAAAAGGCAAAAGCTCCTTGCTCGATTAGCTACTTTGCAAGCTGGTAAAGCACAGGAGGCTGCAGAAGAATCTTCTCTGGAACCTAATCCTAGAGGTGAGATATAAACCTTGGGCTTTCTGTCTTGCTGACTTGTGGTTAAAAAAAAATTCCAAAGACTAAAGAAAGAGAATATTAGTACATGTATATTCAGATACAGAATATGAAATAAGTCAAGATGATTCAAAAAGGTATATTGAGTGCTTTACTTAACAGCAAGGGATGGGAGATTAAGAAGATTAAGATCTTATTGTCTAAGTATTAAATAGGCATTGTACATGCTCATAAAAAGAAGTTATTGGGAGATGTACAATTAATTATAAATAATTTATATTTTGTGTAATATAAATCCTATCTGATTTGTTTGCAGTAACTGATCAGTTATCTCAAGAGGGAGTTCCAGCAATCTTTCTTTCCAGTGGATTCTCTTTGAAAGACCCGGACACTTTTTATTCTGTTTTCTCACATGTAACATCTGCAGGAGTGTCACTTAAAAATGCAAAAATCCTTCAAGAGAAGGTGAGAATAATTTTGCTTTAGCTCTGAAAGCAATATATTTATGAGAAACTTTTGATGTTTAATATTTTGGTTAACAATGTATATACTGTACTATTTAAAATCATCCTTCTTTTTAAAATTGTGATGTATGGGTAAAATATGCATTCAGTAAGACAGTGATATCTATTTAGTATTCAAGTTCTTAATTTTCTTTTCAGCTATTCCACTATTTAGAAATTGTTGAAGTGGATATGAGTAGGCAGATAGCAAGAAAATCCTCGGCATTTTTTGATACTATGACTTACCTAAATGCTCAAATGGAGCAGTTGAGACTGAATCATGCTGCAGTTTCCACTCTCAGGTGAGCCTTCTTGTACATAAATACTTCTTTCTTTCTTTCAACACACCGGCCAGATCCCACCAAGGCAGGGTGGCCCAAAAGGAAAAACGAAAGTTTCTCCTTTTACATTTTAAATTCAAATTCAAAGTTTATTCTCTATAAGGATTACAATGCTGAGTTTACAGAATTTGGTTATTGTGTGGTTTACATGTAGTAAAATAATAATTACAGAGTGTACCACTAGAACACCTAGCATGGCTAGGCATTTCGGGCAGACTTAAATTAAAGCTTAAGTTTAAAATATAACAAAATTATGAGGTAAGTTGGTATTATGGCTAAGTGACTAAATACTAGTTTGTGAGTTTAGCAGTGTGAATGCTTTTGTTTTGGCACTATACATAGTAATAGCAATACTATACTATGTATAGTATACATAGTAATAGTATATAGTATAGTATATATTACTATACATAGTAATATATACAGGAGAAGAGGTTACTAGCCCCTTGCTCCCGGCATTTTAGTCGCCTCTTACAACACGCATGGCTTACGAAGGAAGAATTCTGTTCCACTTCCCCATGGAGGTAAGAGGAAATAAACAAGAACAAGAACTAGAAAGAAAATAGAAGAAAACCCAGAGGGGTGTGTGTGTGTGTGTGTGTGTGTATATATATATATAATTACAGTGGACCCCCGCATACCGATTTTAATCCGTGCAAGAGGGCTCATTGGTATGCAAAATAATCGGTATGCGAATGAATTTTCCCCATAAGAAATAATGGAAATCAAATTAATCCGTGCAAGACACCCAAAAGTATGAAAAAAAAAAATTTTACCACGTGAAATATACATTTTCCTACACACAAAGAGAAGGATACATGCACAATAGTAGAGTAGTACATGCACAGTATATATTGTGCATGACTACTCTACTAAATGAAGAATAAAGACACTTTCCTTTATTGAAGATGCAGCAATGACTGATGAGACAGTGTGTCCGGGAGTGCCTTTTCTCTGAGTACTCTAGGTCCTGTTTGGCATTTTCTTCCAGAACAGGCCTTATCACACTGTGTATGCCACTACGATTCTTAAATCTCTCAAACCAACCTTTGCTGGCTTTAAATTCACCAATATGAGCACTAGTTCCAGGCATTTTTCCCTGTTCACCTGGGTGTTAGTCGACTGGTGTGGGTTGCATCCTGGGAGACAAGATTAAGGACCCCAGTGGAAATAAGTTAGACAGTCTTCGATGACACTGACTTTTTTGGGTTATCCTGGGTGGCAAATCCTCTGGGGTTAATTGTTTCTTGGTATTCTCAATAAGCCACACCAACAACTGTGCTACAGCAGCAGCAGACGATGCTACAGCAGCAGCAGACGATGCTACAGCAGCAGCAGACGATGCTACAGCAGCAGCAGCAGCTGACAGTGCTACAGCAGCAGCAGACGATGCTACAGCAGCAGCAGACGATGCTACAGCAGCAGCAGCAGCAGCAGACGATGCTACAGCAGCAGCAGCAGCAGACGATGCTACAGCAGCAGCAGCAGCAGACGATGCTACAGCAGCAGCAGACGATGCTACAGCAGCAGCAGATGATGCTACAGCAGCAGCAGCAGCAGCTGACAGTGCTACAGCAGCAGCAGACGATGCTACAGCAGCAGCAGACGATGCTACAGCAGCAGCAGACAATGCTACAGCAGCAGCAGCAGCAGCAGACGATGCTACAGCAGCAGCAGACGATGCTACAGCAGCAGCAGATGATGCTACAGCAGCAGCAGCTGACAGTGCTACAGCAGCAGCAGACGATGCTACAGCAGCAGCAGACGATGCTACAGCAGCAGCAGCAGCAGACGATGCTACAGCAGCAGCAGACGATGCTACAGCAGCAGCAGACGATGCTACAGCAGCAGCAGATGATGCTACAGCAGCAGCAGACGATGCTACAGCAGCAGCAGATGATGCTACAGCAGCAGCAGATGATGCTACAGCAGCAGCAGCTGACAGTGCTACAGCAGAGCAGACGATGCTACAGCAGCAGCAGACGATGCTACAGCAGCAGCAGATGATGCTACAGTAGCAGCAGCAGCTGACAGTGCAGCAGCAGCAGCAGCAGCAGCTGTACCACCAATAGTAGCGATGGTTGATTGGGGTTTATTATATAACCTGGCCAGCTCGGAGACACGCACTCCACTTTCATACTTATCAATGATCTTTTCCTTCATCTCTATAGTAATTCTCACCCTTATTGCTGTAAGGTTGGCACTAGAAGCTTTCTTGGGGCCCATGGTCACTTATTTTCCAGAAAAAATCACCAAAAACACTGTAATAATACGAAATGTTCCGATTGTATGCTTGGATGTTACCGCGGAGGCTGGCTGGTAAACAATGCCACCGGCAGAACATGTGAGCGTGGCTCAGGCCACACATTGGACGCGTCTCGGACGAAGGGCGGTGAGCGGGTTTTTGGGCGGTATGCGAGGCTAAATTTTTGCGATCAAAGCGATCGGTATGCGGATTGTACGGTATGCGATGCGTACGGTATGCGGGGGTCCAGTGTACTTGGGAGTTGATGTGTTGGCGGATGGATTTATGAAGGATGAGGTTAATCATGGAATTGATGAGGGAAAAAAGGTGAGTGGTGCGTTGAGGTATATGTGGAGTCAAAAAATGTTAGCTATGGAGGCAAAGAAGGGAATGTATGAAAGTATAGTAGTACCAACACACTTATATGGGTGTGAAGCTTGGGTGGTAAATGCAGCAGCGAGGAGATGGTTGGAGGCAGTGGATATGTCCTATTTAAGGGCAATGTGTGGTGTAAATATTATGCAGAAAATTCGGAGTGTGGAAATTAGGAAAAGGGGAGGAGTTAATAAAAGTATTAATCAGAGGGCAGAAGAGGGGTTGTTGAGGTGGTTTGGTCATTTAGAGAGAATGGATCAAAGTAGAATTACATGGAAAGCATATAAATCTAAAGGGGAAGGAAGGCGGGGTAGGGGTCGTCCTCGAAAGGGTTGGAAAGAGGGGGTAAAGGAGGTTTTGTGGGCAAGGGGCTTGGACTTCCAGCAAGCGTGCGTGAGCGTGTTAATTAGGAGTGAATGGAGACGAATGGTGCTTGGGACCTGACTATCTGTTGGAGTGTGAGCAGGGTAATATTTAGTGAAGGGATTCAGGGAAACCGGTTATTTTCATATAGTCGGACTTGAGTCCTGGAAATGGGAAGTACACTGCCTCTGCTTTAAAGGAGGGGTTTGGGATATTGGCAGTTTGGAGGGATATGTTGTGTATCTTTATATGTGTATGCTTCTAAACTGTTGTATTCTGAGCACCTCTGCAAAAACAGTGATAATGTGCGAGTGTGGTGAAAGTGTTGAATGATGATGAAAGTATTTTCTTTTTGGGGATTTTCTTTCTTTTTTGGGTCACCCTGCCTCGGTGGGAGACGGCCGACTTGTTGAAAAAAAAAAAAACATGTATGTGTAGTGTGACCTAAGTGTAAGTAGAAGTAGCAAGACGTACCTAAATCTTGCATGTTTATGAGACAGAAAAAAGGACACCACTAATCCTACCATTATGTAAAACAATTACAGGCTTCCGTTTTACACTCACTTGGCAGGACGGTAGTACCTCCCTGGGTGGTTGTTGTCTACAACCTACTACCTAGGTACATAAATACTGTATGTTGAAATATGGTGATCTCAAAAAAATCTGTGAATAATTATTGTGTAATGCACTCCCAGATCAACTTGGCTGTGATGGATATGTGGGGCTGCAGGCCACCAACAGCAACAGCCTGGTTGACCAGGCAAGCACCAGACGAGCCTGGGTCATGGGTGGGCTTCGGGAGTAGAAACTCTCAGAACTCATCAGAGTTATAAAGTTATATCTGACTTGCAAATGAGTTTCATCGTTAGTGTTATGGTGACTGAGCAAAGTGATTGGAACTCCGAACCTATTTTCTTTTAGAAACTATAAAGAATATTTGTGCTCAGAGCTGTATTCTTATACAAATATTTTTTTAAATATTTTTTCTTAAAAACTTCATTAGTAAGTACAGTTGTTGATAGCTAGGACATCTGTAAACCTAATTTTAGTAAGATTTCTTTCTATTATTTTTCTCATTTTCTTGAAATTTTCCTCTATATCAAATATTTGCTGTACACACTAGGGGTTCACCAGAAAGTTCTATATGTATTTATGTAGGTCTGTCTTTTAATCTTTTGTCTCAGTTCTTTTTCTTATTTTTTTACCCATTGTGCTGAGTAAGACTCATGTGCAATACTTAGGTATCTCTATTGCTAAAATATTTTGCTCGTATGGCAAGTTTCTTCAGTAGAATACGGGTGAATATGACACTCGAGATTGTAGAAGTACAGTGGTCCCTCAATAATCGTCCATAATCCGTTCCTGGAAGTGGGACTATTATCGAAATGGACGATTTACGAATCAATTTTCCCCATAAGAAATAATGTAAATTCAATTAATCCGTTCCTGACACCCAGAAGTATTAAAACAAAATTTTTTTTTACATGAAATACAGTGGACCCCCGGTTAACGATATTTTTTCATTCCAGAAGTATGTTCAGGTGCCAGTACTGACCGAATTTGTTCCCATAAGGAATATTGTGAAGTAGATTAGTCCATTTCAGACCCCCAAACATACACGTACAAACGCACTTACATAAATACACTTACATAATTGGTCGAATTGGGAGGTGATCGTTAAGCGGGGGTCCACTGTATACATGTAGTACATAAACAATACAATGGGAAATGATGAATGAAACATTAACAGCATAACACTTACCTTTATTGGAGATTCTTCTTAGTGTATGGGAGACTGGAGGAGGAGAGAGAGTGGATTTTTTCTAGTTTGGAAGGGGAATCCCCTTCCATCAACACCTCGGGTACCAATTGCTTTTCTGGGGTTACTTCTCTTCTCTGTTTCTTAATGCCACTAGGACCACCTTGAGAGTCACTGGAGTCCTGTCTCGCAAAAAAACTGTCCAGAGAGCTCTGTTTTTGGCGTCTCTTTAAAACTTCCCTAAAATGCACATATTTTTCAGCCGCCTTGTGGTCCGAACTGGCAGCCTCACCATGCCTTACCACACTGTATATGCCAGTACGCTTCTTAAATCTCTCAAACCAGCCTTTGCTGGCCTTAAATTCACTCACATCATCACTAGTTGCAGGCAATTTCTTTACCAGATCGTCATGCAACTGCCTAGCCTTTTCACAAATAAGCGATGTCATAAGACTATTTTTTTATTATTTATTATTTTTTTATTATCACACTGGCCGATTCCCACCAAGGCAGGGTGGCCCGAAAAAGAAAAACTTTCACCATCATTCACTCCATCACTGTCTTGCTAATTGTTTCGCATTTATCCACACCAATAATAACTTCTCAACATCTTCGAGTGCTGGTGATCTCATTTTTGTCAGCATATTTACCCCCTTTGCAACAACAGCATCCTTGATTTCCTTTTTCTTGGCTATGATGGAAGATATGGTTGTACGGGATTTGTTATACATCCTGGCCAGTTCGCCCACACGTACGCCACTATCATATTGTTCAATGATGTTTTTCTTAAATTCAATCGTATTTCTCACCTTCTTTACCAAAGGCTTGGCACTAGGAGCTTTCTTTGGAGCCATGGTACCTTATTTAGCACTTAAATAACTTGCAAGCACTAAAATAAATGAAATATTATGAAATATTTCGCTGGAGCACGTGAGGGGACCGTCGCTCACTGGTAAACAATGGCACACTGGCTGGGAAGGAAAGGCCGAGGCGGCTCAGACCGTGAGTACGTGTCCAGGACGAAGGACTATTAGCGAGTTACCGGACCATTTCCGAGCCAATATTTTGACGAAAAAACAGGACTATTTCCGAAATGGACGACTTTCAGGCCGGACGATTATTGAGGGACCACTGTAATAGAAATGGAATAACTGATGGAAAGGCCTTCATAGCACACACTGTTCTGTTTTGGGTGAACTTTTTTCAGTCACACACAAAAAACAATAGATTAATATAGAGGAGCTTCATAAGAAAACTTACTGCAACTTAAATGTTGTTACATACATTTTCAGAAGAGGCATCTCAACTTTACATCAGGAGGCTGTTGTGGAGCCACTAAAAATTTTAGCCTTGCCAAGAAGAAGAGACAATATCACTGCTACATGTAAAAAGGTACTGTAATGTGAACATTCATGTAACAAAGAAAACGTGCAATCATAGTGGATATTTTGCAGTGCTTAATTTGTTTATTAGAGCAATGTCTTAATTTGTTAAATGGTCTTTCTTAACTCTTTTTATATCTCAGAAGGGGGTGAAAGAAAACAAATTAACAGTGTATTTGCAGTAGTCATGTGCATTATATGAATTGTAATATAGTATGTTTTTTTTTAAATTTCAAAGTTAAGACTCCTCATTAGACAGTAGCAGCTTCATTCCATTCATCACTGCCGCCGTTGCTGCCACCGCCACCACAAATTATAAATAATATATACACGTATATGTTTTAACACATCGGCTGTTTCTTACCGAGGCACAATTTCATACGTGCAAAATTGTGCCTAGTAGCAAAAAAAAAAAAAAAAAAAGCTTGGTTATATAATTGAAAGTAGCATTTTTTATACAAACTTAAAATTCAAAATTAAGGTTGGTTCAGTATTGGGAGAGGAGTTCATATAATGCAGTTAAGGTGAAACATTAATAATGTAATCAGTTTGAGAAGATATGTGGAGAATTGCTCCTCTGTGAGGGATACTCCATGGAGTGTTCTTTTTTAATAAAATAGACCTTGGTCTGATGAAGTCATTCCTTTTTAATCCTTAAACTGTCGAAACGTAGATCTACGTTCACGTGCGTAGCACTCGGACCTTGATTTTCCCCATTTGAAAGCGTGTAAAAAAAAAAAGTTGATCTACGTTCGGAGCCCCCCTCACGTGGATGTAGATCTAAGTTTGGACAGTTTAAAGGTTAAAGATGAATCCTCAGATATTTTATTAATTTACCTAGTGTTCTTACTTTTGTTTAGAGTTGCTCCACAAAGTTAGATGTTAATTACTTATATGTAATATGCTCCCGTCATTTTAATTGTCTCTTTCAACATGCGTGGCTCACGGAAGAAGAGTTCTGTTCCACTTCTCCATGGAGATAAGGGGAAATAAACAAGAAGAACTAGTAAGGAGATAGAAGTAAACCAAGAGGAGTGTGTGTGTATATTTATATGCTTGTCTATGCATGTGCATTGTGACCTAAGTGTAAGTAGAAGTAGCAGGACATACCTGAAATCTTGCATGTTTACGAGACAGAAAAAAAAAAGACTCCAGCAATCCTACCATCGTGTAAAACAATTACACTCACTTAGCAGGATGTTAGTATCTCCCTGGGTTGTTACTTTCTACCAGCCTACTACCTAGGAAATTGTAATACATCTGGAAAAAAATAAGGCACTTTCTGAACATTTTCTCTTCCTCTTTGCTGGTAGAGAAGTTGATAGTGGCATACCAGGTCATGGTTATTGTTGTTTACATGTACTACAGAGTTAGTGTTAATCATGCTGCACTGCATGGACCCACCTGAACCTAATTTTTTCCTAGGTATGAAGAGGCGGTAGGTGACTCAAACAGTTGAGCTGAAATCTAAAATGGTTGCAGGCAGCATATTTGAAGGCATACATCAGACAGTTTAGGGGTTAATAGTTATAATTATATTGAAAAAATGGATAACTCACAATAATAAACAAATAACCCACATGTAGGAGACTGAAACTTATGATGACATTTCGGTCCAACTTGAACCATTAACTAGTCACACATGACTAGTTAATGGACCCTTAACTAGTCACACATGACTAGTTAAGGATCCAAATCGAACCGAAATGTCATCTTAAATTTTAGTTTCCTACGTGTGGGTTTTGTGTTGTTCCAGTCAGGGTATTGTGCCTTTTTATTTTTTAATTAACAATTAATTTGATCAAGTTGTGTAAATTAGCAGTCAGTTCCTTTGCTTTGTTGTTCCTTTACTTGCCTTTTTCATTGCAGCTTGAAGTAATGAGTGCCGTTCGTGAAGTTCAAGCAACTATCCAGGTGATGCTGGCAAGACAGGAGTTCACTGCTGCACTTGATCTTATTTCTACTACGCAGGATCTTCTCCATACAGAACTCAGTACCATCAGAAGTCTCAAGTAAGGTTAAAATTAGCATTACACATATCAGTGGATGTTGATTTATGTAACACCTTCAGTGGATTCATACTATGGTTGCATACTTTTTAATCTTTAGCAGTAAGACTTTATAGAGTTTGTTATTGCATGTAACACAAACTATCATAGAATACAGTAAAAATGCATTACTCATACAAGGATTTTTGAAGTGAAGTGATTGTAAGTTTCAGGGAAAGTTTTATATATACAGGAAGGCCCCACTTATACGGCTGGTTAGGTTCCAGGCTACCGCCGTAAAGCAGAAACCGCCGTAAAGTGGAACACCCTTTTTTTCCACTTACAAATGCATACAAACACTAGATAACAAGTTTACACTAACATATATTAAGTTAGCAATAGAACCAGGCATCAAAAAACAATAAAAAGTACAATACACACATAGTGCACTCATTACTTACCTTAAAATATTTATAGTCTTAATCTAGGGTGAGACAAGTAGTATTTATTGTAAGAAATCAAGTGTGGTATGTATTGTAGTCAGCCAGGCTACCATACCAGGCCACCCCACCCACACATACAATTCTATGATATTTAAGCATCCCAGAGCGATAAAATGTATATACAGTTCACTCATTACTTACCTTAAAATATTTGTAGTCTTAATGTAGGGTCAGGAGTAAGTAAATGAGATAAAACGAATAAATGAGAGAGAGAAAGAATGAGTGCATGAGAGAGGACAGGCGCAGAGTTATGTAAACAAACCAGGCGAAGGTAAGTTTTGTAAACAAAGTGTACACGTCTGGTTTTGTGTACAAGTTACATTGTGTACAGGTTGTCTCTACATTGATACGGTAGAATAAATAAAGAAGAACACTCCCATTCTCATGTAACATCATTTTGAGAAGAAATGATGCTCTGAGTGAAGGCAATGGAAATAAGTCACTCTGACTTTTTTTGGGTTATCCTAGGTTCTCTACACATATGTTGTTATGTATGATAATCTATGTAACTGTATTTGTGTATACCTGAAATAAACTTACTTACATACGAAAGGAATAATTTTTCTACAGTTACCCCCAGTAACACATTTTCTCTTATGTTAGATTAGAGAAAATGTTATTCTTGGCATCACTTGTACAAGTTCTCTGGCTACCACATCTCATATTTATGTTTATTTATTCTATTGTAGGGTGTATTTATCATCTTTTTATGTTATGTATCGTGTTTATTATATAATTTTGAAAAAAATATCATGGATGGATTAATGAAAATGTGTATATTAACGTAATATACAACATTTAATAAAGACTCGGTGATTATTATTATTATTATTAGCATTTCTAATATGGCGTCACTTGTGCAAGTCGTCTGCTACCACATCTCACATTTATGTTTATTTATTCTATTGTGGGTGTATTTAACATCTTTTTATGTTATGTTAATCGTGTTTATTATATAATTTTGAAAAAATATCATAGATGATTAATGAAAATGTGTATTTAACGTAATATACGACATTTAAATGAGACTCGATGATTATTATTATCATTACTAATATGACGTCTGGAGACATAAGACACTCTTACTGATTTTAATGTGTACCTGCATGCCAGCACAGTATGTAAGTTTATTTAAGTACAGGTATACATAAGTATAATTATCAGAGTATATATAAAATATGAAATAACTTTTAAAAACATTTGAAATTTTGGAGTTTCCAGACAAAATGGAGAGACTTAGTGCTTACTGAGCTCACGAAGAATGTAAACAAACAAGGTGGGGCGCGGTGACCATATTAGAAAGTCAGGTGGGGGGAGCCGTATAGCGAGTTTTGGTCATAATTTGAAATGACCGTATTAGCGGAACGCCGTAAAGTGAAACGCCGTAAAGCGGGGCCTTCCTGTACATGTATTAGAATTTGCAGTAGAAAATTTGAATACTTTTCATTTGGAATCTTCTGCTGCCTATCTTGACTTTTTCTTGTGCTTTATGCCAGCCTTTTTTTGTATGTTGCTTAGTCAAGACATTCTTAATATTGTAAATACTTGTGTGATATTTAGCTCTTTTATTTTTAAATACCTGTATGTTAGTTGTCTCATCTATTTTCTTTAATGTTTAGAATTGAAAAGCTTTGCAGGATTGTTTAGAAATGACAATGTTTTTGGTAAAAATACAGATAATGGTACTGAAGAATGGAGATATTTCATTTTAATATGCTTGCTTGTAGATGAAATGAAGCAGACTGCTGTTATTTTTCCTTTAATTAGCATTACATTTAAATGTATTTATGATCCCATACACATACCAGTCAGCATTATAGTCCTGTAGTAAAAAAACAAAAGAATTTAGTAATTACATTTGTCACCCTGCCTCAGTGGGAAATGGCCGATGTGTTAAAAAAAAAAAAATGTAATGTGTGAAGAACGCTTCACTGTAAATAATTTCTGTGGTAATTACATCACTTCAAACCAATTTACATTCGTAATATTTATTTTCAGACACTTGAGCTCGGAACTGTCAGAGCATGAAAAGCTAATTGACAAAATGGTATCTGCTGATTTCATAAAATATATTACTGAAGATCTCAATCGACCACTTGATGATACACAAACGTTACTTGAAGAGGTAGGGGTACATAAAATAATACAAAAAAGGTAATAGGGTAATAATAATAATATTGTATTTATAAAAAAATTACTGTATAGAGTAATGTAAGAATTACTGTAGAGTTATTCCCCAATTTATGTGGATTTGCTGTGTGCAGTTTTGCTTATAATAATGAGGTGACCTCATTATTCCAGGAATTTGCTATATATGATAAAAATTCATTCTTAAATGATTGGAATGGTGGTTACTTTGCATTTTTACTTTTATGCGATCAGCCAACCCACATCCCCTGTTTTCCCCACGACCTCCCTTAGCTGGGACTTGGGCCTGCTTCATTGGCCTGCTGACTACCCACCCACCACCATGCCTCACGAACCACCCTCTGCTCCACCAGCAAGCCAACAGCTTGGTGAGGGAAGAGGAGCATAAATAGTAAATCTACAGTTCTTGACCATCCTCTACCAAAATAAATATTTGGCATTTGCAAAGTCTGAGAACAAATCCCTATCTTATACATGTTATAATTGTTTTGCTATGTGAGAATTTACTTTATACACCAACAGCCAGAAATGCATCTATCACATAGTGTGAGGGATGCCCATAGTTGTAACTTTTGTAAAGCTTGAAATTAATTAGGTACTTTCGAGTAGTGACGTTTCTTCCTCAGATCAAACCTGATTATCTCTCATTTCCCAGGAGCTGTATGGCCACTGCCTATGGTTTTAACATTTCCCTGTAAATACAAAAGTAATGATTTTGGGATTGTGACACTGATAGTGTATACAGTAGTAGGATGATAATGACAGTACAAAGCTTTTTATATAGCAGTGTTGCTTTATAATTGTAATTAAAGTTGATTTAGCAGTATGGCTTAATAAAACAAAAATAAATAAAATTAATTCCTAGTTACCTATGACATCCAAATGTTAGTACAGTTGTGATTATATCATTATTAGAGGCATTTTTATTATGGAAATTCTGGCAAACTTTGGATTGATGTTATTTTTTATTATTTGCAGGACCACTTAATTGCTGTAGTATTTGGAGTACTTCGGCTACAAAAATTTGATTTTTTAGATAATTTCAGAGAAGAAATATATACTGCAATAAAGGCTACAGTCAAGCAGGTAAGGGATTTTAATTTGAATATTTGCGAAGGGATTCAGGGAAGCCAGTTAGCTGGACTTGAGTCCTGGAAGTGGGAAGTACAATCTCTGCACTCTAAAGGAGAATATTTGCTGTTTAGAGGGGCGTATAAACTGTCGTATCTGCATGCATTTGTCAAGACAGTGATAGTGTGAATGATGGTGAAAGTGTTTTTTTTTTTTTGGGTCACCCTTCTTCGGTGGGAGAGAGCCAGTGTTAAAAAAAATTTATGATGTTTAAGAGTGAAAAATAAATGAGGAAAATAGAAAGCCAAACATAAAAATACTACCTTATTTTACTTTTCATTTGTTATACAGCAATTTTTGTTAAGTAGTAGATAACTGATTAAGGTGTTTATAACTGGTCATTGAGCAAAAATTTTATCTGATTTTCTAAGCAACAAGGAAAGTAATTGTGTTTACTGATGTAATGTATCCCACACCTCTTATAATACCATGATGCTATTTATTATATTTTTGATAGTATACAGTACTGACAAGTTGATGAACAAGAAACAACACTTGGATATTTTTAAAGTTGAAAAATTGGCAATAAATACCAAAGTGTTGCACTTGTCTTATTAAATATATAAAATATTGTGAATTTTTGCTATTAATCAAATATTCATGCACATTGTTTATTGAATCTAACACACATTGTTATAGTATAGTTTTACCCACTGTTATTGTGTTTTCACACCATTATTTATTTTTGCTCATTTAATAATAGTGTATCCATGAAACTTGTTTCTTCATTTGTTTAATCATTCGCCAATGAAAGAACTAATATGCATTTATTATGAATTTTTTTCAGGCTGTTGTAGAGGCTGTCAGTAAGGTTGAAATAGATCAGGAGTCAGCTAGCGTTGCAGATCAAGCCCGGGTACTATCTATTGGTGCTTGGCTCTCTCTCCTGTCAGTTGTTACATCGTGGTTGAACATTGTCATAGCAAGAGTTAAGGTAGTCTTTCCATGGCTTATATTATTGATAAAAATCTTCATTATAGAATGTTGAATATGCAAGCATTCAGAGCATGGTGTTATAAACAAAATTTGATTTAAGTTTTTCACTTAGTGATCTTTTTTTTTTTTTTTATACTTTTAAACCACCCTCAAGAAAGGCTTGATATTGGTGAAGGATTTTCAATATAACGAGATGGAGGTGTCCTCCCCTTCCTTGGATCAAACAAGATTATCTCACATTTTCCAGATTTAGATGCTGTATAGCCCTTGTGGCTTAGCGCTTCTTTTTGATTATAATAATAATAATCCAGATTTAGAGCTCCCCCTTGAATATAATACTGATAAGCTCACAATTCAACATAGTAATTTTTTTTAACACACCGGCCATATCCCACTGAGGCAGGGTAACTTAAAAAGAAAAATGAAAGTTTTTCTTCTTAAATTTAGTAATTTATACAGGAGAAGGGGTTACTAGCCCCTTGCTCCTGGCATTTTAGTCGCTTCTTACGACATGCATTGCTTATGGAGGAAGAATTCTTTTCCACTTTTCCTTGGAGAAGATAAGATTTTGTTTGAATTTCTAACCCCGGAGGGTTAGTCACCCAGGATAACCCAAGAAAGTCAGTGTGTCATCAAGGACTGTCTGTCTTATTTCCATTGTGATTCTTCACTCTTGTCCCCCTAGTATGTGACCCACATCAGTTGATCAACACCCAGATACCTACTTGCTTGCTAGGTGAACTGGGACAGCAGGTGTAAGGAAGCATGCCCAATGTTTTCCCCTGGCCAGGGATTGAACCATGGACACTCATTATATGAGATAGGAGCGTTGCCTACCAGGCCACGGGACACATGGTAATACTGTAGTTAAAACATTTGCTAAATATACCTTGATGCTGGACTATTTGCAACAAGTGTTTGATCAGTTAATATTGAAAATAGACTGTTGTTATTTTTTTTGTTTTTTAAGAAACCAGCCATATCCCACCAAGGAAGGGTGACCTAAAAAGAAAAATGAAAGTTTATCTTTTTAACTTCAGTAATACATACAGGAGAAAGAGTTACTTGGTTGTTGCTCCTGGCATTTTAGTCACCTCTTACAACATGCATGGCTTATGGAGGAAGAATTCTGTTCCACTTCCCTATGGGGATGATGATGTGATTATTTATTTGCAATGACTGTGAGAGTAATAAATGAATAACAATGTAAGGTGAATAGAGTTAAAAAGGACCCAGAGATGTGATAGATGGATAGGTTGAGGAAGTATTTGTTTGAGCAAGTGCATCCTGATAATTATGCTGAACTGTATTTTATCAGTAGTGAGAGGATTATCACACAGGAGTTATCTTTCACAAAATGAAGAAAATACATTTTAAAAATTACTAAGGAAATTATTACTTAGGACATCCCTGAAAGGTATGTACAGTGATTTTCCATATAATGCATTAGTTATGCTCCTGAAATTGACATTTTGTATGTCTTCTTTCTTCTTTCAACGCATCGGCTGTATCCCACTGAAGTAGGGTCCCCCCCCCCCTAAAAATGAAAGTTTTTCTTTATATAATTAGTAATTTTTTTTTTTTTTTTTTTTTCAACAAGTCGGCCGTTTCCCACCGAGGCAGGGTGACCCCAAAAAAAGAAAGAAAATCCCCAAAAAGAAAAATACTTTCATCATCATTCAACACTTTCACCACACTCGCACATTATCACTGTTTTTGCAGAGGTGCTCAGAATACAACAGTCCAGAAGCATACACATATAAAGACCACCCAGGGAAGTACTACCGTCCTGCCAAGTGAGTGTAAAACGAAAGCCTGTGATTGTTTTACATGATGGTAGGATTGCTGATGTCTTTTGTCTGTCTCATAAATATGCAAGATTACAGGCATGTCTTGCTACTTCTACTTACACATAGGTCACACTACACATACATGTACACATTTATTTATACACACTCATCTGAGTTTTCTTTGATTTTATCTTAATAGTTCTTGGTCTTATTAATTTTCCTTTTATATCCATGGGGAAGTGGAATAAGAATCTTTCCTCCGTAAGCCATGCGTGTTGTAAAAGTCAACTAAAATGCCGGGAACAATGGGCTAGTAACCCCTTTTCCTGTAAAGATTACTAAAAAGAATAAGAAGAAGAAATAATTAGTAATGTATACAGGAAAAGGGGTTACCAGCCCCTTGCTCCCAGGATTTTAGTTGCCTCTTACAACACACACGGCTTACAGAGGAAGAATTTTGTTCCACTTCCCCATAGAGAATGTTTTTATAATTTCACATTATGTAATGTAAATAACGCATGGTAGAAGGAGGGTTAGGCTTTTGATACCTTGAAAATAAAAAAGTTTAATTCTCTTAGATTTGGTTATCCTAGGTTAAAATTACATGAAATATTCCTTATGTGTCCATAACATGTGTGTGCCATCAAGGCCATTGTAAAAATGTTGTGTGTTATGTACCCAAAACCTAAACAAAAACTTGCTAAATAAATTTACTTAAGGTTTTACCATCTATTCCTTCCAGAAAAAAATGGGCAGGGCATTCCTTCCAGAGAAAATATGCTAGGCTAATACAGCACTATTGACTGTTATAAATTTAATACACAGTTAATTTTAAAATATGCTACAAAGGTAAAAGAAAATTTTTACCTTTTCTTAAATAACTTAGTTTCTCTTGCTTGTTGACATAGAGTTTGGAGATGGTTATGTAGCACTGTCAAGCAGTAGATGCCTGTGTATTGTGTTTTATTAACTTATTATTGAAAGAATTAGAGGTAAGACAGAATGTAGAATTGCAGATGAGCAAGGAGGTTTTAGAGTGGGTAGGGGATGTGTAGATCAAGTGTTTACATTGAAGCATATATGTGAGCAGTATTTAGATAAAGGTAGGGAAGTTTTTATTGCATTTATGAATTTAGAAAAGGCATATGATTGAGTGGATAGGGAAGCAATGTGGCAGATGTTGCAAGTATATGGAATAGGTGGTAAGTTAGTAAATGCTGTAAAGAGTTTTTATGAGAATAGTGAGGCTCAGGTTAGGGTGTGTAGAAGAGAGGGAGAATACTTCCCGGTAAAAGTAGGTGTTAGACAGGGATGTGTAATGTCACTATGGTTGTTTGATATATTTATAGATGGGGTTGTAAAAGAAGTAAATGCTAAGGTGTTCGGGAGAGGGGTGGAATTAAATTATGGGGAATTAAGTACAAAATGGGAAGTGACACAGTTACTTTTTGCTGATGATACTGTGCTTATGGGAGATTCTAAAGAAAAATTGCAAAGGTTAGTTGACGAATTTGGGAGTGTGTGCAAAGGTAGAAAGTTGAAAGTGAACATAGAAAAGAGTAAGGTGATGAGAGTATCAAATGATTTAGATAAAGAAAAATTGGATATCAAATTGGGGAGGAGGAGTATGGAAAAAGTGAATGTTTTCAGATATTTGGGAGTTGACGTGTCAGCGGATGGATTTATGAAGGATGAGGTTAATCATAGAATTGATGAAGGTAAAAAGGTGAGTGGTGCATTGAGGTATATGTGGAGGCAAAAAATGTTATCTATGGAGGCAAAGAAGGGAATGAATGAAAGTATAGTAGTACCAACACTCTTATATGGGTGTGAAGCTTGGGTTGTAAATGCTGCAGCGAGGAGGCGGTTGGAGGCAGTGGAGATGTCCTGTCTAAGGGCAAGGTGAGGTATAAATATTATGCAGAAAATTCGGAGTGTGGAAATTAGGAGAAGGTGTGGAGTTAATAAAAGTATTAGTCAGAGGGCTGAAAAGGGGTTGTTGAGGTGGTTTGGTCATTTATTGAGAATGGATCAAAGTAGAATGACATGAGAGCGTATAAATCTGTAGGGGAAGGAAGGTGGGGTAGGGGTCATCCTCGAAAAGGTTGGAGGGAGGGGGTAAAGGAGGTGTTGTGGGCGAGGGGTTTGGACTTCCAGCAAGCATGCGTGAGCGTATTAGATAGGGGTGAATGGAGACAAATGGTATTTGGGACCTGACGATCTGTTGGAGTGTGAGCAGGGTAATATTTAGTGAAGGGATTCAGGGAAACCGGTTATTTTATATAACCGGACTTGAATCCTGGAAATGGGAAGTACAATGCCTGCACTCTAAAGAAGGGGTTTGGGATATTGGCATTTTGGAGGGATATATTGTGTATTTTTATACGTACAGTATATACGTACATGTACTTCTAAACTTTTGTATTCTGGGCACCTCTGCAAAACAGTGATTATGTGAGAGTGAGGTGAAAGTGTTGAATGATGATGAAAGTATTTTCTTTTTGGGGATTTTCTTTCTTTTTGGGTCACCCTGCCTCAGTGGGAGACGGCTGACTTGTTGAAGAAAAACAAAAAAAATTCTCATTTATGATAGTGATAAGGAAGATTTTTTTAATGCATTGGCTGGCTCCCACCAAGGCAGGGTGTCCTAAAAAGAAAAGCGAATTTACTGTATCATATGAGTACTGGATTTTTGGCAAGAAGTATTTTTGAAGTTGCTGAATTTGCAATTACAGTGAAACTTTCATGAAACGGACTAATAGGGAGATGTGTTAATTCGAGTTTCTGCTTAACAGTCAAGGTCATACTCATCATCTTGGCACTGTCACTGGCTTCAGAGGTCATTGTTAATAACCCTGTACAAGATATTTTAAAATAATACAAAACACTGTATATCCAGGGAAAATTTGAGATCAAATGGTGTCGGTATGTAATCATGCACTCGGACAATAAACTGATGTGAGTTTGAGTTACTGGCCCCATTTCCCAGGAACAATGAAAATGGACACATCCAGGATGAAGCCCAGACCGGACAAAGTTGTGATGAATGGACTTGGTCCACTTTGTCAGTGGTATGACCTGACCACACAGCTGTGGATGTGGCCGACTTGGTCACTGCAACACTATTTTTTACCAGACATGACATTCAGTGGACATGTTGAGCATTTGTTCGACCAGATTTTTGTCCATATTGATGCTTTATGGAGGGGTTATACAAAGGTTATACCGTAATACACAAAGACACACAAATAATTTGTACAATGGAGAAAGAAACTGATGACTACATTTCAGTTCAGCTTGGACCATTAACTAGTCACAGTATTGTGCCCTTTTTTGCTCTTTACATACAGATGATTGCTCCTAGTTCTGTTTTTCAAACAATGGGTATTTTCAGGGCATAATAGAAGTTATGGTGCAAACTGTAGAAGCGGGAGCAGGGAGGACCAAGCCAGTCACTGAAGGAGTTCAGACTGCATCTCTAGTCACACTGTAAGTCACTTCATTATGCTGTAACCTTCCAAAATTGCTTTGCATATTATGACCTTCGTGGAAAATGTCATCATCCAATCATATTATTTTTTCTTAATTCATACCAGATGTACTGTACAGTATGAAATAGTAATAATACAGTGGTACCTTGACTTATGAGTGTCCCAACTTACGAGTTTTCCGAGTTACAAGCTGTCTCTCGGTTGATTTTTTGCTTTGAGTTGCAAGCTAAAATCCAAGTTTTGAGCGAGTTTCAGATACACCACTAATTGGCGACGTATCTGAAGTCAAATCCAACTCTGTATCCAGAGAAACGTCAGGAACTTCATCCCATCTCGCATGGTTTTCCAAGACATAACTGGAAGGATAATACTCTCACACTAATCCCAGATTGTAGTGAGGCACCTTGTCCCTTGTTTGGTTCTTATATAAATCTGGGGAAGAGGTAACCTCCATTTCAACACTAAAGTGTTTTTCTAGAAACATTAATTGAGGTGGGTGGAGTAGTGAAGGTGGTGGGTAAGTAGAGATGTTGGTGGGTGGTGTAGTGAGGATGGTGGGTGGAGTAGTGAAGGTGGTGGGTGGAGTAGTGAAGGTGGTGGGTTAGTATACAATATTTCTTATTTATAAATACATTTTTCTTATTTAAAAACCTGTAACAAAAAAATTGGGGTGGTTTTCTTGGGGGGCTGGAACAGATTAATGGCATTTCAATTAATTTCAATGAGGAAAATTGATTTGATGTATGAGCGAATTGAGTTATGAGCTCGGTCGCAGAACGAATTAAGCTTGTAAGTCAGGGTACCACTGTACTGTAGTAGTATTTATTTTTTTTAAATATTATGATTATTATATCTTTTTAAATTTATTATTGTTTTCTGATATAGAAAATAATTTAAATATAGCATGCTATTGTACACATGATAACACGGAAAGGATTTGCTTAACTTAATAATGGTTTAGCATGGACCGAAACATTGAAGATTTATCTCTAGTTTGTAGGTTGGTTTTAAATTATTTGTCCCATCTTGCATGTTTTATTTTAGAAAGTAACTTATTTTTATCCATAGAAGCAGTACAGATGGGGAAGCAGTCCTGGGGGAAGTAGCGTGTGGACGGGTTTTAAGTGGCTTGCGTGAAATTTTGTGTTCCACGTGTGATTATGCTCATGATCGCTGTGCCAAACTTCTTCATGCAAGGTGAGCAAGTTTACTTATTCGTGTGTTAACAAAGTAGAATGTTTGCTACAGCATTTTTAATGCATTTTTTTATTTATTAGTTTTTCTCTGTATATTAATGCCTCAATTTTGTTTTATAATTTTTTAAAACTAATATAATGTAACTGCTATATTAATTAGCCCTTTCAGGGTCAGAACCCCTGATCTGAAACTTGCTCTTAGGGTCAGAAAATTTAAAAAAAATTATTTTTCTCATGAAATGATAGAGACTTTTTCTGAAGGTAATTAAACCAAAAGTACGAAATTTGATGGAAAATTTACGGAATTACTTTCTCACAAAGTTAGAAGTCTTGGCGATATTTACGCATCAGCGATTTCACCCACTTTGAGCCCTATTTTTGGCCAGTTCCATTGTTCCAGTCGACCAGACTCATAGCTATTTTGCTAGCTATTCTAACAATTGACTACAAGAAACTGCTCATTTACTTACAGTGGAACCTCAAAAATCGAACTGCTCCCAACACGACCAATTATATAAGTGTATTTTTGTAAGTGCTTTTATAAGTGTATTTTTGAGGGTCTGAAATGGACTAATCTAATTTACATTATTCCTGATGGGAATAAATTCATTTGGTAAAGGCACTCGAACAGCCTTCTGGACCGAAGAAAGTTCGATATTTGAGGTTCCACTGTATTTCAACTACCCAAAAAAGTGACCAGAAATCTGTAATTTGGCCAATTTCACACAAAATTAAAAAATTTTCAATTTAAAATTAGGGTCCAGAATAAACAATGTAGACATTCCTGGGACTCAAAAAAACATTTCCTTTGTTCATTGGTTATGTCCCCAGGCCTATCCTATACAGTGGACCCCCGGTTAACGATATTTTTTCATTCCAGAAGTATGTTCAGGTGCCAGTACTGACCGAATTTGTTCCCATAAGGAATATTGTGAAGTAGATTAGTCCATTTCAGACTCTCAAACATACACATACAAACGCACTTACATAAATACACTTACATAATTGGTCGCATTGGGAGGTGATCGTTATGTGGGGGTCCACTGTATTATGCTTGCTTTCCATTTTGAATTTTTATTCACACAAAAAAATAGAAGATTTACTGCTATGCAGATTACTTCATTATTATAATAATTTTATAAATAATGTTGGCACATTTGCGAACACGTATTAGACCAACCAGTTGGACACGTATTGGCGAGTGACATAATTTGTGTATCTGGAATATTGGCAAAAATCAAACATTTTTGCTTCTTTGAGTTTAATTTCAGGCAACTTTCAGTGCTGAAACCAGTCAAAATCATCTCTTCTTCTGTAAATATATCTTCCATTTATCAAATGAGACCAAGAAACCGAGAATATAACCATAAAACATACGAAAATTCACCACAAATTCGTTGTTTTGAACCAAAAAACGTGGTTGCAGTTTTTTCCCATTATGCACTGTGTGCTGCAGGATTTTCTTTGTATGGCATACACTTGTCACATAGACCAATTCTCTTATGTCTAGGCCCAAAATTTACTGCTCACAGCTTATCTGAGAGAGCTGAACTCGCCATGTATAACAACGGAACCGGCCCAGGCTTCAAAGCCGTAGTACAACAGCACCCACCTTTAAGCCTTAAACTGTCCAAACGTAGATCTACATTCATTCACGTAGTGCTCCGAATATTTTGAAAAAAAAAAAAAAATTAAATGAAGAGCACATTTTTCTACATGTTACAAGATAAAAAAAAATTTGAGGGTCAGTATGTACCAAGATATAAGCCCGTGAAGTTGGTGCTAGATGCTCACCTGACAGCAGCAGACTCATGCCGCTTGCAGAAGTGTTGCCAATACATATACATACCTTTTTTCTCATTTTTATTTTAATGTATATATTTTTTATGTTCTGATAATTACAATTTGTAATAGTTCTTGTAATATCATAGCTAATCTTTGTTCTGACAGTAATAGTAGGTACTGAAATATCACCACCACTATGTACGGCTTATCTTTCAGTGGCCCTTATACACCCAACAACAAACACAGCAACAATCATCGGTTAGGGAGAGAGACATATGACATATTTTATTCATTCTAGAGTATTATATCATGTTTTTATGTTATTAATATTGTTTATTATGTCATATTAGATGAATCATGCTAGATAAATAAGCCGTAGAGTTGATATTAGTGTCATATTAAAGGACTATCTTGTCCTGCCTCCAAACAAACTCTCCTGCCTGTCTCACACGCCAAGAGTCTTCAGTAAAGGTAAAACTGATTTAAATGTTCATTTATCCATGTTTTCTGTATGTAAAACTATAGTATTTATTCTTTATAAAATGAATTTTTGTGAATACTTTTGGGTGGAATGGATTAATTGGATTTACATTATTTCTTATGGGAAATATTACTTCGACTTTGGTCGTTTCGATTTTAGGCCTAGCTCCTGGAACGGATTACGGCCGAAAATTCGGGGTTCCACGGTATATACAAAGTACGTGTATTTACAGGTCCCAGCAATGTTTTAGACATGCTGGAGTATACCTTGAACTGTTGACAGCCCAGTGACACTTGATAAATGGGCACTCAGGGAACCCTTGCTTTATTTGTTTTCACTGTTACACACAAACGTGTGTGTGTCCGTCTGTCTATCTATCTATCTATCTGTTTGTCTCTGTCTGTCTATCTTTGCCTGGAATTTTTGGGTTATCCTAGGTAATTTACACATGTACACTTATGCAATAAGATCACAGTAAACAGGTGATTTCAGAATATGCAAAACAACCACTCTGAAAGAATAGAGAAATTCCAAGCGCTTTCGTGACTACTCACATTATCAAGGAACTTTCAGAGTGGTTGTTTTGCATGTACACTTATGTGTACATGTGAGAGATAGAGATGTGTAGACAGATAGAGATAGAGACAGAGAGACAGCCAGAGAGCCAAAGCCAGCTGGACAGCCTGCCGAATACATAAGAACATGAGAAAGAAGGAACACTGCAGCAGGCCTACTGGCCCATGCAAGGCCATGTCACTCTCCCTGGCTTAGACCAATGACCCACCTAGTCAGGTCACATCCACTGAAGGAGGGAGCATGGCATCAGACCTAGTAGCACAAGCTAGTCAGGCGTTAGAACAACCCACACCCACTCGTGTATTTATCTAACCTATTTTTACTTTCCTCTTAAGAGGGGAATGTTAATGTGACATAACATCAGTGAATCCTGGTGTTTGCCATGCTATTTGCACTAGCTGGCGCTCAATTGAACTGATGCTTCCACAAGGTACTAAGTGGTCCCTGATTTTTTGATAGCGCACACCGAGTGTTAAGACCCATTCTCTCGTGTCTAGGCGACTCAGGCTAATTTCCCCAATTTTGAAAGAATGAAAAAAAACATTGATTTATGTTTCGGAGCACTAGGCAAGCAAACATATATCTACGTTTGGACAGTTTAAGGGTTAAACCATGGCATATCTGGGAAATAAAATTCTGTGTGTGTGGGGCACAGTTTTAAAAATTCAATTTTTCTAAGTAGAATTATAAATTGAATGGTAACATACTGTTTTGTGGTTTACTGGAGTTGGCAAAAAATGATCACTCACTGACAGCATTGGCACAAATGTGCATAATAGTACAGTGGACCCCCGCCTTACGATATTAATCCATTCCTGAGAGCTCATCGTGAGCCGAAATTATCGTAAGACGAATTAATTTTCCCCATAAGAAATAATGGAAATCAAATTAATTCGTGCAGGACACCCACAAGTCTGAAAAAAAAAAATTTACCACATGAAATATTAATTTTAATACACACAATTAATACTCTACTAAGAATAGAATACATGACACTTACCTTTATTGAAGGTCTGGTGATGATTGATGAGATGGGAGGAGGGGAGAGTGTGGAAAGTTTAGAAGGGGGAATCCCCTTCCATTAGGACTTGAGGTATCAAGTCCTTTTCTGGGGTTACTTCCCTTCTTCTTTTAACCCTTTGAGGATCCGTCCCATAGATCTACAGCTTTACGTTCAGGGTCCAAACCGTAGATCTACGTCATGAGCTCAGCTCACTCTGATAAACTGTGAGTGGTACATTTGGGCCTAGATATGAGAGAATACATCTATGTGGTATGTGTGCACCACATAAAACAGTTCCTGCAGCAAGCTTTGTATAATGAGAGAAAAAAACTGAAATCATGATTTTTCGATTAAAACAGCGACTTTGCAGTGTTTTTTCGTATGTTTTTTATAGTTCTATTTGCGATTTCTTGGTCTCATTTGATAGAATGGAAGACATATTATAGAAATAGAGATGATTTTGATTGTTTTTAGTACTGGAAATGGCTTGAAACTGAGCTCAAAGTAGCAGAAATGTTAAATTTTTGCCGATATTCAAGAGTAAACAAACGACCTCACACGTCTAATACACACCAGCTGGTGGGTCTAATATGCATTCACAAATATGGTGATGATATTTATACAATTATTACAGTATTGCATCACAGTAAATCTTCTATTTTTTGGTGTGAATAAAAATTCATGTGAATAAAAAATCAAAATGGAATTTATTTGTAAAGCCTCAAAACATAACTAATGAACAGAGCAAAAGTTAGTTTAGTCCCAGGAATACCTACATTGTTTATTCTGGACCCTATTTTGAAATTGGAATATTTTGAACTTTGTGTTAAATTGGCCAAATTAACAATTTCCGATCACTTTAATTTGTAGTTGAAACAGTTGACTTGGCGATTTCTTGTGCTCAATCGATAGAATAGAAGTAATACTAGTGATATAGCTAAGAATTTTGTTGACTGGAATAATGTAATTGGCCTAAAATGGGAGTCAAAGTCTGCAAAATCGCCAATTCGTAAATATCGCTGACACATCAAAATTCGCGAGAGCATAATTTCGTCAATTTTCCATCAAATTTCGTACTTTTTGTTTTATTACCTTCAGAAAAAAATTCTCTACCATTTCGTAAGAAAAAATAACATTTTTTTTTTTTTGAAAATTCTTGGACACTGGGGCACCACTTCAGATTTGGGCCTTGGACCCTGAAGGGGTTAATGCCACTAGGACCAGCTTGAGAGTCACTGGACCTCTGTTGCACAACAAATCTGTCCATAGAGCTCTGTACCTCCTGTTCCTTTAAGATTTGCATAAAATGGGCCACAACATTGTCAATGTAATAGTCACCAGCACGGCTTGCAATAGCTGTGTTAGGGTGCTTTACATCCATAAAGGTTTGCAGTTCAACCCACTTTGCACACATTTCCTTAATCTTTGAAGTAGGCACAGTGGATTCCACAACTGGCATAGGCAACACACACACACACACACACACACACACACACACACACACACACACACACATGAACAGGTAACATATACACACACAACATACACAACACACACACACACACACACACACACACACACACACACACACACACACACACACACACACACACACACACACATACACACATACACACACACACACATACACACATACACACACACATACACACATACACAACACACACATACACATACACACATACACATACACACATACACATACACACATACACACACACATACACACACACATACACACACACATACACACACACACATACACACACACATACACACACACATACACACACACATACACACACACATACACACATACATATACACATACATGCACACACACACACACACACACACACACACACACACACACACACACACACACACACACACACACACACACACACACACACACACAGAAAGACAGGTAACACACTCGCACACACATAGACAGGCAACACACACACACATGAACAGGTAACACACACACACACACCGTGGACAGGTGACACACACACACGCACATGAATAGGTACCACATACACATGGACAGGTAACACACACACACACACACACACACATGGACATGTAATATACACGCGATTCATCCAGGAAGTGTCCTGACGAATCGCGTGAGGCGAGGCAAAATTTTTGGTGGATTTAACGTAACGCGATGCCATTGTAAGGCGGGGGTCCACTGTACTTATATTTTCCCACTTTTTTTTTTATTTTTAGCGCACCGGCTGTCTCCCGCTGAGGCAGGGGTACCTGAAAAAGAAGAAATGAAAGCTTTTTCTTTTTTTTACATTCAGTAGTTTATACAGGAAAAGGGGTTACTAACCTCTTCCTCCTGGCATTTTAGTCACCTCTTGCAACAAGCATGGCTTATAGAGAAAGAATTCTTCTCCGTGTCTCCATGGAAGTTGTCCCACTTACTTATGCCAAATAATGAAAGTTTAGCAGTTTTTCTATTTCGTTGTCTAACACTATACGTATATTTTTTTTTTTTCACCAAATCTACTGTCTCCCACCTAGGCAGGGTGACCCAAAAAGAGAGAAAATCCCCAAAAAGAAAATACTTTCATCATCATTCAACACTTTCACCTCACTGACACCATAATCACTGTCTTTGCAGAGGCACCCAGATACAACAGTTTAGAAGCATATATAAAGATATATAACATACCCCTCCAAACTGCCAATATCCCAAACCCCTCCTTTAAAGTGTAGGCATTGTACTTCTCATTTCCAGGACTCAAGTCCAGCTATATAAAAATAACTGGTTTAGTGAATCTTTTCACTAAATATTACCTTGCTCACACTCCAACAGCTTGTCAGGTCCCAATAACCATTCGTCTCCATTCACTCCTATCTAATACGCTCACACATGCTTGCTGGAAGTCCAAAGTCCTCTCCCACAAAACCTCCTTTACCCCCTCCCTCCAACCTCTTCTAGGATGACCCCTACCCCGCCTTCCTTTCCCTACAGATTTATACGCTCTCCAAGTTATTCTACTTTGATCCATTCTCTCTAAATGACCAAACCACTTCAACAACCCCTCTTCAGCCCTCTGACTAATACTTTTCGTAACTCCACATCTCCTATTTTCCACACTCTGAATTCTCTGCATAATATTTACACCACACATTGCCCTTAGACAGGACATCTCCACTGCCTCCAGCCACCTCCTCACTACAGCATTTGTAACCCAAGCTTCACACCCATATAAGAGTGTTGGTACCACTATACTTTCGTACATTCCCTTCTTTGCCTCCATGGATAATGTTTTTTGTCTCCACATATACCTCAGCGCACCACTCGCCTTTCTTCCTTCATCAATTCTATGGTTAATCTCATCCTTCATAAACCCATCTGCTGACAAGTCAACTCCCAAATATCTGAAGACATTTACTTCTTCCATACTCCCTCTCTCCAATGTGATATCCAATTTTTCTTTATCTAAATCAGTTGATACCCTCATCACCTTACTCTTATATATGTTCACTCTCAACTTTCTATCTCTACACATCACACACTCTACACACACTGTTTAAAAAGGTGTGTGAATACCATATATAAGGGAGTATCTATAAATATTTAGAGATTTATAATTTCCAAATTACTTTTTTTGAATTTGATGTTAAATATATATGATAACATTAGCCTGTTGATTTTAGGTGTAGTAGATATATACTACAGTATATGTATTTATAATTAAACTATGGTGGTGCAGTACAATCACTCAGGCTATACTGAAATTATTATATTTTTTAAAATCTAGATCAAGAGAGCATGGCCTGGACAAAATGACAGCAAATGAATTCCTAACTCTTTCACGCATCATTGAAGATTTTGTGGCTGATGCGGAAAATGTATGTGGGCGTAAAAGTACTTCGTTCCGAATGGGGTTACAAGGACAGGTAAGAATTTTTTTTTTTTTACAATACATTATCTTGCATTTTCCATTTATAGTTCTCCATTCTTGATTATATTGTTGTACAACAAGACATAAGCAGGCCAGTGTGCTAAATGCTGGAATTGTCCCCAAAGTGAAAAGATTTTCATACAAGTTTTTTACATATTTTCAACAAATATTCCAGTACATTTGTGGAAGTTCATTGCAGATGTCATGTGTGGGAACTTGGTAACTGTTTTGTGCTGGGAATGACATGAGGTTTGAGTACAGTGGGCACTGCAGGATATTAAAAATTGAGAAATTAGCAAAAAATTTTTGAACTATTTAAAAAAGTCCTGATTAGTGGCATCATTGTGATGTGTATAATCTCATTAGTACAGTGGACCCTTGAGTTATGATAATTTTGATTTACAGTTTACCCTTATAAAGAAATTTAGTTTGAGTTGTGGTGAAAAACTGGAGATATGATATATGTATGATTGTCGGTGGGCATGGGTGGACCACAGCCCAAAGACAAGACAAGGTAATGAAAAGGTCTTAAATAGAGTGATAGTGGAGGGTGTGTTGGAGGTGAGTGGGAGGGAGGGAGGGTGTACCAGATGCAGACAGTAGGAGACAGTGACAATGAGTGTTATCATATTAAGTTTACAAATCGTAACTAATCTTTCTGTCTGCCCACCCACCCTATCCTGCCAATTTGTCTTGGCATAAGTCTATGAAAGACATGCATTGCTGCTGGGTGCCATTGCCTCTGGATATTTCAAACTGCAAGCTATGCTTGTTTATCACTCAGAAAATTCCATTGTGTTTAAACAACAAAAAGTATCCAAGGGCAGGTTGGGTGTGTTCTGGCATCTCTGGTTACATTGTGGGGTCAGCATTTTGGGCCATGGGGTTCAGAATAATGTGGCTCTCACTTCTTTTTCATGATCTTTTTACCATATTTGCCTTTTAGAGGTTGAGTTTATAGAACAGATTGATTGTGAGTTCTAGTAGTTAATATTTTTTATGTATTTTTTAGAAATTGTACAGTATTTTGTTGCCTGAGATGTAGAATGGTGCATAAACAGATTTTTTTTTATTTCAGCATGATACAATGTACAGAGATGGGCGACATTCAGGTGTGCATGCAGAACGCCCTTTATTATACAGAGCATTTTGAGTAAACTTAAGACTATTATATACATGGTCTCTTAAGTGGTTGCAACAATAAATTAAGGAATTACAAGGAACATAAGAGGACTGAATAGTGTAAAGTAATTAATAAAGTTAAAACAAAGATATGCAGGTCAAATGTTTATACTGAAGCATGTAAGTGAACAACATTTAGATAAAGGTAGAGATGTTTTCATTGTATTTATGAATTTAGAAAAGGCATATGATAGGGTGGATAGGGGAGCAATGTGGCAGATGTTGCAAGTGTATTGAATAGGTAGTAAGTTACTAAATTCTGTAAAAAGTTTTTATGAGAATAGTGAGGCTCAGGTTAGGGAGTGTAGGAGAGAGGGAGACTACTTCCCGGTAAAGGTGGGTCTTAAGACAGGGATGTGTAATGTCACCATGGTTGTTTAACATATTTATAGATGGGTTGTAAAAGAAGTAGATGCTCGGGTGTTGGGGAGTGGGAGTTGACTTGTCACTGGATGGGTTTATGAAGGATGAGGTTAACCATAGAATTGATGAAGGAAAAAAGGTGAGTGGTGTGTTTAGGTATCTGTGGAGACAAAACACGTTACCCATGGAGGCAAAGAAGGGAATAACAAAAAGCACAATACCATGACTGGAACAATACACAAATAACCCGTACATAGAAGAGTGGACTTTGTAAATGGTCCAGGTTGGACCGAAATGTCGTCGTAAGCTCCTCTCTTCTATGTGGGGGTTATTTGTGTAAAGAAGATAATGTATCCTAGGTAGTAGGTTGGTAGACAGCAACCGGCCAGGGAGGTACTACTGTCCTGCCAAGTGAGTGTAAGACGAAAGCCTGTAATTGTTTTACATGATGGTAGGATTGCTGGTGTCCTTTTTTCTGTCTCGTGAACATGCAAGATTTCAGGTACGTCTTGCTACTTCTACTTAGACTTAGGTCACACTACACATACATGTACAAGCATATATATACATACCCCTCTGGGTTTTCTTCTATTTTCTTTCTAGTTCTTGTTCTTGTTTATTTCCTCTTATCTCTATGGGGAAGTGGACCAGAATTCTTCCTCCGTAAACCATGCGTGTTGTAAGAGGCGACTAAAATGCCGGGAGCAAGGGGCTAGTAACCTCTTCTCCTGTATATATTACTAAATTTGAAAGGAGAAACTTTGGTTTTTCCTTTTGGGCCACCCTGCCTTGGTGGGATACGGCCGGTGTGTTGAAAGAAAGAAGAAAGAAGAGAATGTATGAGAGTATAGTGATACCAACACTCTTATATGGGTGTGAAGCTTGGGTTGTAAATGCTACAGCAAGGAGGCAGCTGGAGGTAGTGGAGATGTCCTGTCTAAGGGCAATATGTGGTGTAAATATTATGCAGAGAATTCGGAGTGTGGAAATTAGAAAGAGGTGTGGAGTTACTAAAAGTATTAGTCAGAGGGCTGAAGAGACGTTCTTCAGGTGGTTTGGTCATTTAGAGAGAATGGAACAAAGTAGAATGACTTGAAGAGCGTATAAATCTGTAGGGGGAAGCAAGGCGGGGTAGGGGTCGTCCTCGAAAAGATTGGAGGGAGAGGGTAAAGGAGGTTTTGTGGGCGAGGGGCTTGGATTTCCAGCAAGTGTGCATGAGCATGTTAGATAGAAGTGAATGGAGACAAATGGTTTTTGGGACCTGATGAGCTATTGGAGTGTGAGCAGGGTAATATTTTGTGAAGGGAAACCAGTTAGCCAGGATGTGAGTGTGGGAAAGGTGCATGAGGCATTACATAGAATGAAAGGGGGTAAAGCAGCTGCAGCTGACGGGATCATGACAGAAATGTTAAAAGCAGGGGGGGATGTAGTGTTGGAATGGTTGGTATTTTTGTTTAATAAATGTATGAAAGAGGGGAAGGTACCTAGGGATTGGTAGAGAGCATGTATAATTCCTTTATATAAAGGGAAGGGGGACAAAAGAGATTGTAAAAATTATAGAGGAATAAGTGTACTAAGTATACCAGGAAAAGTGTATGGTAGGGTTAATACTGAAAGAATTAGAGGTAAGACAGAATGTAGGATTGCGGATGAGCAAGGAGGTTTTTAGAGTGGGTAGGTTATGTGTAGATCAATTGTTTACATTGAAGCATATATGTGAACAGTATTTAGATAAAGGTAGGGAAGTTTTCATTGCATTTATGGACTTAGAAAAGGCATATGATAGTGGATAGGAGAGCAATGTGGCAGATGTTGCAAGTATATGGAATAGGTAGTTTATTTACTAAATGCTGTAGAGAGTTTTTTTGAGGATAGTGAGGCTCAGGTTAGGGTGTGTAGGAGAGGGAGACTACTTCCCGGTAAAAGTGGGTCTTAGACAGGGATGTGTAATGTCACCATGGTTGTTTAATATATTTATAGATGGTGTTGGGAGAGGGGTGGGATTAAATTATGGGGAATCAAATACAAAATGGGAATTGACAGTTATTTTTTGCTGATGATACTGTGCTTATGGAAGATTCTAAAGAAGTTGTAAAAGTTAGTGGACTAGTTTGGGAGTGTGTGTAAAGGTAGAAAGTTGAAAGTGAACATAGAAAAGAGTAAGGTGATAAGGGTATCAAATGATTTAGATAAAGAAAAATTGGATATTAAATTGGAGAAGAGGAGTATGGAAGAAGTGAATGTTTTCAGATATTTGGGAGTTGACATGTCCATGGATGGATGTATGAAGGATGAGGTTAACCATAGAATTGATGAAGTTGAAAAAAGGTGAGTTGTGCATTGAAGTATATGTGGAGACAAAAAACATTATCTATGGAGGCAAAGAAGGGAATGTATTTAAGTATAGTGGTACCAACACTTATATGGGTGTGAAGCTTGGGTTGTAAATGCTGCAGTGAGGTGGTGTTGGAGATGTCCTGTCTAAGGGCAATGTTTAGTGTAAATATTTTGCAGAGAATTTGGAGTGTGGATATTAGGAGAAGGTGTGGAGTTAATAAAAGTATTAATCAGAGGGCTGAAAAGGGGTTGTTGAGGTGGTTTGGTCATTTAGAGAGAATGGATCAAAGTACAATGACAGAGAGCGTATAAATCTGTAGGGAAAGGAAGGCGGGGTAGGGGTCATCCTCAAAAAGGTTGGAGGGAGGGGGTAAAGGAGGTTTTGTGGGTGAGGGGCTTGGACTTCCAGCAAGCATGCGTGAGCTTGTTAGATAGGAGTGAATGGAGTCAAATGGTATTTGGGACCTGACAAGCTGTTGGATTGTGAGCAGGGTAATATTTAGTGAAGGGATTCAGGGAAACTGGTTATTTTTATATAGCCAGACTTGAGTCCTGGAAATGGGAAGTACAATGCCTGCACTTTAAAGGAGGGGTTTGGGATACTGTATTGGCAGTTTGGAGGGATACGTTGCGTATCTTTATATGTACTGTTGTGTTCTGGGCACTTCTGCAAAAACAGTGATTGTATGTGAGTGAGGTGAAAGTGTTGAATGATGATGAAAGTATTTTCTTTTTGGGGATTTTCTCTCTTTTTGGGTCACCCTACCTTGGTGGGAGATGGCCAACTTGTTAAAAAAAAAAATAGATGTGTAATTTCCAGAAGTTTTGTCTTAACCTAATAATATTCTGTTAAGTTTATTAAATGCACTTGAAAAATTCATAGTGTGTATTGAATTTAATATAGAATTGTAATTGTTAGTACAGACTAATTAATTGTATCACTCTCACTTGAATGAATTGTTCATATTGTCTTAGGCTACAAGATTTGTGTTGCGATTCCATGAGGAACGTGAAGCCAGGTACAAACTGAACATGAGCAGTGAAAGGTGGAGAGCTGTTCATGCTCCCCCAGACCTCCAGCGCCTCCTTGATCACATCTCGGCTACTGGTAAGAAGAATAGTACAAGATTTGTATGTTAGATTTTTATGCTTTTTAATCTGTGTTATATGACCCCTTGTAGGTTTAGCACTTCATATTAATTATAATAATAATTTATATGTTTTACGCATCTGTGTTTTGTGTGTGCTTTTATCTCGTATTGTAAGACATTCATGAAGTAACATCGTTGCATTCTCCTGTTTGTTTTGGCTTATTCCATTATTTTTATTTTAGACTTGTGGTACTATACATGTTTTTTTAGTAATATTAAGCATCTGAGAATTACAGTAGTTTGCTTTTGTTGATAAATGTCAGACTTTTTGTTTTTGTTGATGAATATCAGACTTACTTTTGTTGATGAATATCAGACTGTTATTTTTGTTGTTGAATCTCAGGCTTTGAGATATTATTTCTGAGCAGATAAATTTCAAAGTGGGAACCTTAATGCAGTATAATAAAGAAAAATACTGAGGCATCTTTGGAGACAAAGAGCATTATCTTTGGTGGCATAAAGGGGAGACAAAGAGCATTATCTTTAGTGGCATAAAGGGGAATGTATGAGAATTTAGTGGTATCAGCACTCTTATATGGGTGTGAAGCATGGGTTATGAATGTTGCAGTGAGGAGGAGGCTGGAAGCAATGGAGATGTCGTGTCTGAGGGCAATGTTTGGTGTAAATATTATGCAGAGAATTCATAGCTTGGAGATTAGGAGGTGTGGAGTCACTAAAAGTATTACCCTGAGGGCTTAGAAAGGGTTGTGGAGGTGGTTTGGAGAAAAATAGGATGAATTGCAGAATGAATAAATCTGTAGTGGAGAGAAGGCAGGGTAGGGGTTGCCCCAGGAAAGGTTGACAGGATTGGGTAAAGGAGATTTTCTGTGCAAGGGGCTTAGACATCCAGCAGGCATATGTGAGCATGTTAGATAAGAGTGGATGCAAGTGATTTTGGGACTTGACAAGCTGTTGGAGTGTGAACAGGGTAATATTTTGTGAAGGGATTCAGGGAAACCATTAAGCCAGACTTAAGTCCAGGAGGTGGGAAGTACAGTGCATGAACTGTGAGGAAGGGATGGGTATGCTACAGTTTAGAGGGGCATCTGAACTGTTGTATCTGTACACTTCTGGAAAGACAGTGATAGAGTGAATGATGGTGAAAATGTTACTTTTTTGGGTCACCCTACCTTGGTGGGAGATGGCTATATGGTTAAAAAAAAAAATACTAAATGCTCATTTTTTTTTTTTATTCTTTAGGTTTCAGGTTGCTTGACCTGGTCCCTATCAAACAAGGAGTCCTTGAAAGATTAACTTGTAATCAATGAAAAGCTTGGAAAAACTGAACACATATCACTTAATTTTAATATCTTTGTGCATTTTCTAGCTCTTTCCACTTCTTTTATTGCTCTTATACTGAGAGAATACTTCTTTGTCTCCATAACTTGGTTTTTCAGAGTCCTTCCATGTTCCTACATTAAGGATCCTTGCCTATATTGAGTCTATCTTACCAATTACCTGGAGTATTTTGTATCTTATGATTATATCATTTCTTATTTTGTATTCTTCCAGGAAGATTTAGGTTGTGCAGTTCTTCTCATAGCTCAAGCCTCACATCTCTTAACGCAAGCCTTAAGACATGTGTCTTATATTTTTCGTTTGCTTTATATTTGGTTTGAGAAGGCCTTCACATTGGTGCTACATGCTCAAGAATTGATAGTATTTATGCAGCATAGTAATAATTATTAAAATAATAATTATTATCCTAGGTAGTAGGTTGGTAAACAGCAACCACCCAGGGAGTTAATACTATACTGCCAAGTGAGTATGAAACAGAAGCCTGTAATTGTTTCACATGATGGTAGGATTGCTGGTGTCTTTTTTTCTGTCTCATAAACATGCAAGATTTAAGGTACGTGTTGCTACTTACACTTAGGTCACATTGCACATGCATAGACAAGCATATATATACACATGCCTTTCTGTTTCCTTTTTTTTTTTTTTTTTTAACAAGTCGGACGTCTCTCATCGAAGCAGGGTGACCCAAAAAGAAAGAAAATCCCCAAAAAGAAAATACTTTCATCATCATTCATCACTTTGACCTCACTCATAATCACTGTTTTTGCAGAGGTGCCCAGAATACAACAGTTTAGGAGTATATACGTATAAAAATACACAGTATACCCCTCCAAACTTCCAATATCCCGAACCCCTCCTTTAGAGTGCAGGCATTGTACAGGTCTCCCCTCAACATTCACGTTTTCAACTTTCACGAGCTTCACACATTCGCGAATTCCCAACCGCCAAATTCCCAGCCGCCAAATCATATTTAAGTTTCCCGCCACCTGCGAGTCCCTACTACCCTCCCTCCGACCCCCGCAACTGGCAGCCAGCTCTCCCACCTCTCAGTGTGGTGAGTGTTTTGTTTGTTCATTATTCGCTATTAAACCACAGTATAAATAATGTAAACCCATTCATGACTGCATATTGGAATGGCTATTAGGAAAGGTATTAGATGGTGACATCATGTGTTTACTCTTGAACACTGCAAAGAGTTAAACATTTCTGCTACAGCTAATAATAACAATAGTAATAATAATAATAATAATAATAATAATAATAATAAATATGATATAACTGAAGAAGGAAATTGTACAAAAATACGAGGGAGTGGTTGACACATCGTCAGTGTGACTGTGTTTATGCTGGAGTGAAAAATTAGTCTCCCTGCTCTTCCAAACATTTCACAATAATTCATTGTGTTTGGTGCTTGTAGATTGAGTGTGACTGGAGTGGTAGAGGCAGTGGTTGAGGCAATGGTATTTAATAATTATTATTATTATTAGAGATTAGCCGGTATTCTCCCGGCCCGGGCCTTTTCCAAGTGGTGGCCCGGCCTTGGCTCCCTCTTTAGGGAGTGTCTGAGACCTAAGTCTCCCATGGGAGGAGGCACAAGTACCTCCTCATCTTTGGGACCAACTGCCCCCAGGCCTAGCCACAAGCTAGGCCTCTCTGGTCTGCCATCCCCGCCCCAAGGGGGCAAATGGGAATGACAGTCTTATGAGCTAAAGGCTCGGGCTCAGGCACCTACCCTACCCTAGAAGGGCTGGGCATGGTATCGATGGTATTTAACCCTTTGAGGGTTTTCGTCGTACTAGTACGTCTTACGCGTAGGGGTTTTTGACGTACTAGTACTCATAAATTCTAGCGACCTCAAATCTAGTGGGAGAAAGCTGGTAGGCCTTCATGTGAAAGAATGGGTCTATGTGGTCAGTGTGCACAGTCTAAAAAAAATCCTGCAGCACACGGTGCATAATGAGAAAAAAAAAACTTTTTCCATTTTTTTTTAATAAATCAGCGACTTTGCAGTGTATTTTCGTATAGTATTTATTGTTGTATTCTAGTTTTCTTGGTCTCATTTTATAGAATGGAAGACATATTACTGAAATTGAGATGATTTTGACTGGTTTTACAATGAAAGGTGCCTTGAAATTGAGCTCAAAGTAGCAGAAATGTTCGATTTTTACCAAACTTCAAAAGTAAACAAATCGTGCCAAGCGTGCAATACACGTCAACTGGTGAGTCTAATATTCTTTCACAAGTGCACCAATAATATTTATACCATTTTTTACACTAATGCAGTAGTCTGCATAACAGTAAATCTTATATTTTTTGTGAGAATAAAAATTCAAAGTGGAAAGCAAAAGAATATAAGAGGGGCCTTGAGAGTGACTAATGACTAGAGGAAATGTCATTTTAGTGCCAGAATGTCTTTTTGTTTATTCTGGACCCTATTCCGAAATTGGCATCTTTTGAAATTGGGGAAAATTGGCAAATTCTAAATTTGACCACTGTACTGGATAGTTGAATTTATAAATGGGTGGTTCTTGACCCATTCGAAAAAAAAAAAAAATTGGAAGTTCAGCGAAAATAATGTTTTTTGTCATATACAGCGAAATTGGCGAAAATGGGGCTCAAACTGGGCAAAATCGCCGATCGTAAACATCGCCGAGACCGCTAAACTTTGCGAGAGCAATTTCCGTAAGTTTTCTATAAAATTTTTCAAACTTTTGGTGTCGTTTTGATCGGGAAAAGATTCTCTATCTTTTCAAAGAAAAATAATTTTTTTTTTTTTTTTTAAAATTTTGGCCCGACCCTGAAACGAGTTTTTGGAGAGGGCCTGTCGACCCTCAAAGGGTTAATAACATATATGTTAATAATAATACATGTTTATTAATAATATGTACTATTATTATTTATAACATATATGTTTTAAATACAACATGTTAATAATAATACATGTTATTAATAATAACATGTACTATTATTATTTATAACATGTTTGTTATTAAATACCACTGCCTCAACCGCAGAATTATTGTGAAATGTTTGGAAGAGCAGGGGGACTTTAAAGTTCACTCCAGCATAAACAAAGTCACACTGACATTTTGTCAACCACTCCTCGTATTTTTGTACAATTTCCTTCTTCAGTTATATCATATTTATTATTATTATTATTATTATTATTATTATTATTATTATTATTACTATTATTATTATTATTACTATTGTTATTATTAGCAATAGCAGAAATGTTTTGATTCTTTGCTGTGTTCAAGAGTAAACACATGATGTCACCATCTAAATTTCCTTTCCTAATAGCCATTCCAATAAAGCAGTCATGAATGGGTTTACATTATTTATTCTGTAGTTCAATAGCAAATAATGAACAAACAAAACACTCACCACACTGAGTGGTTGGAGGGCTGGCTGCCAGTTGCGGGGGTCGGAGGGAGGGTAGTAGGGACTCGCAGTGGTGGAGTCTGTGGTATTTAATAACATACATGTTATTAAATAACATGCGTTATTAAAGCATAACATGTATATATTTATTACAATTTACGACGTTTTCATGTATTTTATGATTATTCATAGTTCAACAAGTTAAGGAAGCAGTATTGTAATATATTTCCCTACAATATATTGGGGCACCAAACATTCACGTTTTTTCAACATT